TATTTCCGTCATGCCTGCGAAGAATGTGGTCGTTATTGGGTACGTACTTTACTGAGAAGTAGGATTGACACTCTAGGCTAATTTTTCTACAGGGCCGGAGTGGCCGGGCTGACAACAGCACTCCTGCTCTCAAAGAAGCCAGGATACAGAATTCTCGTTGCTGCCAAATATATGCCGGGAGACTACGATATCGAGTACGCGTCTCCCTGGGCAGGCGCCAACTACATGCCGTATGTAACGCAAATATGGCATACCATTGAAATTGCAGTGCTAATATAGTCTCAGCGTTTCTGTCGCCGGTACAGATGCAGCAGATTGGGATAAGAATACATGGGGGCCATTGGCCGATCTTGCAGCGAACTATCCGGAGGCTGGCGTTCACTTTCAGGGTATGTTCTGCTCTATAACCCTAGCTGCCCAAGATGTAGCAGGTTGCTGATCTAAAATGAAGAATGTGAGATATATACCCGCGAAGAAGACAAGGGTTCTACAACTGCAGACTGGTTCTCTGAACTTCTGTCGTCCAGTCCATGGTTTGCAAAGGTTGTTCCGAACGTAAGTACAGGACACAGGAATCAGGTCATCGTTGGGTGATACTGACAAACGGTAGTTTCGGAGCTTGCCAAAGAATTCCCTTGCGCCTGGGATTGACTCTACAACATCGTTTACTTCTGTGTGCATTAACACCGCCATCTACCTTCCTTGGCTTGTTTCGCAGTGCCTATCTAACGGTGTAGTCTTCAAACGGGCACACTTTAAGCACATTCTCGATGCTGCGAACGACCACTCTCACCCACATGGCAAAGTCGACTTGGTAGTTAATTGCACTGGACTAATGGCATCCAAGCTAGGAGGAGTGCAGGATTCATCGGTAGTTCCTGCCCGAGGACAGATAGTGATAGTGAGAAATGAAGCGGGAAAGATGCTGAGTGTGTCTGGCACGGATGACGGCGATGACGAGGCTTGCTATGTGATGACACGCGCCGCCGGCGGAGGAACAATTCTGGGAGGCTCATACCAAAAAGGAAACTGGGAGTCTCAGCCAGATCCGAATCTGGCAATCCGGATCATGAAGCGAGCTGTGAAGATGTGCCCATCTCTGACTGGTGGCAAAGGTATTGAGCACCTGGATGTTATCAGACATGCAGTCGGTCTTCGTCCTGTCCGAGAAGGGGGCACTCGAATTGAAAAGGAGAAGATCGGGGGAGTTTGGGTTGTTCATAACTACGGTGCTGGAGGTGCTGGATATCAATCGTCGTATGGATGCGCGCAGGCGGCGGTGGATCTGGTTGAAGATGCCCTTGCTTCCTTTGCTAGACTATGATCGAATCTAACAATATCGATTGAGTTTTAGGTCTCAGTGCCTAGTAGAAATCTACAAAATCCACAAGATAAGGGTGTATCGCAGTATGCCCATGTATTATGGTATCTATTCTGTTCATATTGGTCGCTGGAATTTCATTACTCGTAGTTACCCGACAGATACTTCTCTCCTATCCGAGTTATCGGAAGGCGATTGGCTGTCCTGCCCAAATGAGAGGATTCCCTAATGCGGACATACCATGTGGGGTGCGGCGGGGCATTCCAACTCGGTTTCCCCATTAGGCAAACCTGCTATCGCTTCTTGCCCCTTTGGGAAGCTGAGAATGAACAGGTGACAAATTTACCCCTCAGCAAAGGGGATTCCGAGACCCTGTAGCAGACGGATATATAGAATTGATAGCCTCTGGTGACTTGCAGGCATGCGATAACAAGTTACTAGGTGTCCAGTGTCTTCTAGTTGTATCTCCATTACTACATCATCAACACAATGTCCGATTTCTTGGGTCTGTCTCTGAAAGGAAAGACGGCCATTGTCACCGGGGCTTCCAGGTAAGGAACTGTATGAAAAAGGAGACGAATATAGCCGGATCTAGCTAATGAAAAGTACTGCTCTAGGGGTCTCGGGGCCGGTATTGCTACCCTTCTCGCTAAGCGCGGAGCGAACGTGGTTGTCAACTACGTCTCCGATAGCAGCCAGAAAAGAGCCCGAGACGTAGTAGATAAGATAACCGAGATTGGAACAAAAGCAATTTTGTGCCAGGCTAGCGTCAGCAATCTGGATGAGATTCCAAGATTGGTTGAGGCAGCGCTGAAGATCAGCGAGACTGGGAAAATTGATATCCTGATCCACAAGTACGTAACTAAGCCGCGCAGGATAAATATCCGGATGTGACTGGAATTGAGCTAATACCCTGATAGTGCCGCACAAGGGCTCGAGGCAAACCTCATGGACACCACACCTGAGTTCTACAATGTTCACTTCGACTGCAATGTGCGCGGTCCTATCTTCCTTACCAAGGCGGTTGTACCTCACTTGCCCCGGGGCGGTCGTATTGTTTTCATTTCGTCGGCAGGTGCACGCTTGGGTGTAGCTGGACAGACCGTGTATGCTGCCACTAAGGCGGCGAACGAGGCACTTGTTCGTGTTTGGGCAAAGGAACTTGGTCACTCACACGGTATCACCGTGAATTGTGTGAACCCTGGGCCGATTGCAACTGGTAAGCTGTGCACATGACTCCACGCAGCGATTTTGCACTAAATTCATTATCATCCAGATCAATGGTTCCAGAGCGATGAACAGTTCCTCAAGGACATGCAGCCCTTGATCGAATCCACCCCGGCGGCACCACGGGTAGGTGAGGTCGACGATGTCGCTCCGTTGGTTGCTTTCCTATGCAGCGAGGATGCGAAGTGGACGACTGGATCATGCCTCTCTGCCAACGGTGGTCTTTACAACTAGAGCTTTAGGCTATCTACGTAGCGAAATATAAGCACTCTGCGTCTTTGTGTTGAACAGAGCCGACAGGAAAGTGCCCGTTAGGACGCTATACCACACTGATAAGGGATTCCTCAAGTTGACCCATTCCACTTTCTAGTAAGAGAGTCCCGTAAGCCCCGCATCGTAAGCTAAATATCTGGCTCAAGTGGGACCCAGACTATAAAAGTCACTTCATGACCCTCGAGACAGCTTTGTGCTTCTCCCCATCCACGTCTCCTCCACAACCGACACAATGGCGGGACAGACTCTGGACCCTTGGTCTCATCTTCTTAAAGTGCTTTCATCTGTTGAATACAACAAATACGAACCGTTCTATATCATCAACACTGAGTACAAGTCCTTTGGCCAGACTAGTGCAGGGATCGATGTCGACATTCTTATTCCTCGAGCCCTCTCGGCAGAAAGAGGATTGCTGACATGCCCGATCATAGTGCGCATCCACGGGGGATTTTTGGTCGTGCTATCCTACTACTGGTTCTGTTTCTTCTTCACTAACAGATTTATCTACCTTGCAGATCACCGGTTCCAGTCTCTATCCCCCGTGGTTTTCAAACTGGATCTTGGACTATGCCACCCAGAATGGAGCCATAATTGTATCCCCTAATTACCGACTCCTCCCTGAGGCAACTGGAGAAGATATTCTGGAGGACATATACGACTTCTGGACCTGGCTGCAGGGCGACAGTCTGAGCCATGCGGTCAAGGATGCTGGCTATCCACATATCAAGCCGGCGACCGACAAGACCCTTATTGTGGGAGAGAGCGCAGGTACGTCACCTTGCTTATATCGCCTGCTTCCCCTAGTCAAAAAGAAACCTGACCCTTTAATTCACACTGACGTTGAAAAGGTGGATATCTGGCTATGCATTTAGCTCTCACCTTCCCGTCGGAAATTCGCGCTGTTATTGGGGCCTACCCGATCTTGGACCCTAAAGCCAGGTTCTACACTGAGGCATATCAGAAGCCAATTCTTCGGGTTCCGAACATGCCCAATGATATCATTGAGCAACATGTGGCTTCCCTGAGAGCATCCCAACCAGGAAGAATCGTCACCGCTGCGGAATCCCCTGAGAGACTGATGCTAGCATTCGCTGTCTTTCAGAACGGACGTCTACTGGAATTCTTAGGGTCTCAGAATCCGGAATTGTTCCCAATAGAAAGAGTCAAAAGGCTTGCGGCTGTCGGGCGGCTGAAGTTGCCTCCATTATTCATTTTCCACGGGGAGCAGGATTCTGCTGTTCCCTCTGAGGGCACAAGAAGATTTGCGAAGCTGTTGCACGAGAAAGGCAATGCTGGGCAAGTGAGCATGTATATCCAGAATGGTGATCATGGCTTCGATTTTGATGCGACGTTGCAGACACCTTGGTTGAGGAAGGGGCTGGAAATGATATCGAAAGCTTGGATGGGCTCCAATCATGGTACTCTGCATTTGTAAACTGTCATAAGTCAGAGTTCTAATGGGATTGGCAAGCCTGATCCTCTCGCTGGCTCTCTAAGCTTCAATTCATTGCATCCTAGAAATAATAGAGAAACGCACAGTTTAACGATCTAACATTGCCAACTTCGACTTTCTCTGCCAGGAATACCTCTGCTAGGCTACTTCAGGCTGCTTCATGGACATTGCTTACGTACATTACTATTTCCCTATGCCAATGTGCTACATGTCATAGCCTCCAACAAGCTTTACTGATTACCCACTGAATGGGATTCTTCCAGGGCTCGAAGCATAACTGTGCAGGGCGGGAACAGGGTGATCCGATGCCAGAATCACCTATTTAGGAAGGTGAGAATTATTGACTGCAATCCAGGAAAGGCAACTTAATTGGCAAATAGATGGTTTCCCCATCACCATTCTGTTTGCTACTCCGCGATCCGGGGTAATGCATGGTGGAGTATCTTCATACTGTCCAATGTCCGGCGAGAGATAATGTGTTATCACAAACAAGGTTTCTTTATCTCTTCATGTGCTGATAGGATATCTTCTAGTGCCACGTCAATGAGTGCTATTCGTTCGGCGCAAGGGATAGAAGGGGTTAATTGCGATAGGTGAACAAGCATGCCTACAACAGTCAGAGTACTTAAGCCATTCTTATAAATGGGTCTGTGCCTCACAGCATGGTCCTATTCCATTTCTATCGGCAAATCAGTATCCCTCTCCACTCTCAAAGTAATCAGTATCATGAAAGACCATATACCTCAACATGACCTTGAAGTATGCCCCGACAGTCAAGGGGATGCCAAGGGTCTCGGTCAAGCCTTTGACCTTGATGAAGCCATCCTGCGGGCTCAAGGCCGTGAGGCAGAGTTGACACGGTCCTTTTCTTGGGTTGGTGCTCTCGGTTTGGCGTTCAGGTCCGCACTCCCCGCTTGCATCCATGATGATACGCTTGAACTCATTCATTGTCAAGTATCGTCAATTCCTGGTTAACCTACGCTTCCTGCTTTGGCGTAGCGTATAGCTATGGGGGAGGCCAGATTGCTACCTTCAGTCCCCTTCTTTCAGCACTAACACAGTTGGTTATGCTTCAAGGTGTTGCGGAGCTTGCATCTGCCTTTCCTTCGTCTGGTGTAAGTCGAAGCGCGAAACATATTGACGGACCGTCTGGGGACGGAGTGACTAATATATACCGCCTCTTGAGCAGGGACAATATCACTACACGTATATCATTGCACCTAAGCGATTCAGGAACTTTGCCGCCTACGTTGTGGGAATGATCAACGTCATTGCTTGGTGGATTAACACAGCCTCTGGCACTATATACACGGCCATCTCTGCTTTTGGAATCTGTAGATTCTTGATTCCTGGCTTTGTGGGCGCACAGTGGCAGGTTTATCTATGCTACCTCCTTGTTATTCTCCTTACTTGTGAGACAACCAACCAACACTGGTCCAAGGCAGAGGAAGCAAGAAGCTCACATTGATAGTGCTCCCTATCTTCATTATCCCCCAACACCGAGTCGACATAATGACCCAGAGCTCCATGTTTCTATCCATTCTGGGATTCTTTCTGGTCATGATTGTCTGCCTCGTTATGGGCAAGGGAACATACCGTCCCAGCAGCCTGGTCGAATACCAGCCTAGAAGCGGCTGGGCCCCTGGGCCAGCATGGCTTCTCGGAATAGGGAACGGAGAATACGCATTCGTTGCAGCAGGAGCCTGCGTGCATATATCCGAGGAGATCCCGAAACCGAGTCGTAGGATTCCACTCGTAATGTCCGTTCTCCCCATACTACCTGCTCTGTATACATATACATTCCTAACAATTGCCTTACAACAGCAATCTAACAATTCTCATCGGTGTGCTCACCCTCATGCCTTGGATCATTGCAATGACATGCGTTATACAAGACATCGACAGTGTGCAGAATTCTTTCCTCCCCAGTCTGGAGCTCTTCTATCAAGCCACGAACAGCAAGGCCGCTGCTGCTGTTCTTCAGGTGTATCTTACTATTTTGTACTACAGTAAGTAGCCCCACCCCTTCACACAATTCTCCTCTCAGTAAGGTATACATCACTAACATCTACAACTCTCAGCGTGTGTCCCCAGCCAATGGATCACCAGCAGCCGAATGACATGGGCGTTCTCGCGCGACGTGAGTCACCCTCCCTACACCTCATCCTACTCCCAAAATATCACCATCAACCTAACCACAAATCCACATCAACAGAACGGCCTCCCCTTCTCAACGCACTGGTCCAAGGTCGACTCGAAACGAGGTATCCCAGTTCGAGCAACGCTACTCTCCGCCGGCTTCTGCGCCGTCTACGGCCTCCTCTACATCGCCAGCACACAAGCATTCAACTCGATCATCAATACCGCTATCCTCATGCTGAATATCACGTATACAGTTCCCCAAGGGATCCTGGCTTCCGGTGGACGCGATAGGCTTCCTGCTCGATATTATAATTTGGGCCGGGTTCCGGGGTACGTAGTTAACTTCTTTTCGGTGGGATGGTTGGTTGTTAGTGGGGTGTTCTTTTGCTTTCCGACGATGAGGACGCCAACGATTGGGGATATGAATTAGTAAGTGTCTGTCTTGAATTTTACTAGAGGAAGGGCTTCTTGTTAATTCTAATATTTTTGTTCATTTCTAGCAATTCGATTGTTATTTGTGGGATTTTTGCCATTATCTTGCTGTGTTGGTTGGAGCGACGGACGAAGTTCTCTGGTCCAACGATTAACTGGGAGACTCTGAACGCTGCGCAGGCTGTGGATGGTTGATGATGGCTTCAAAGCATTGACGGACTTGATCGAGATTATTAATTTGGCTTATTTTTCGGAGATCTCTAATTGCATTTTGTTCTCACCCTATATATCTCACCCAAATAGCAACTGCTCAGGAGCCTTTCCCAGGCCAGGTGTTGGCGATTTCGTCCTACTATCAATGACAGCACCCCACCACCTCTTCGTAGCCCATATCTCATCCAACAGCGCGGGAACAGAGTGAAACATATAATACCGGCTCTTATCACCCCAATACGAGCAGTAATCCTTAACAAGCCCCCTCATCTCCTCATCCGAAGTTTCACTTCCCGCCAGGAAGATCGGCAGAAGCAGCTGCTTCTGGGTTTGAGATGATCGTCGACAGCATCGAATATGGTCTAGAGTCCGGCGACTCAGCCTGTTAATGGCTGGCTGTCGTTTGATCCTGTCACTTTTGAATACGCGCTCGATGTATAGAAGTAGAGCGCAGCGCCAGGCTTCGGCACAGTGGTACCGGTCTCGTTGCTCGTGGTCCTGCTTTTCGATATCGGTGTCAGAAACATCCTGTTCTTGCTCCTTATGTCTTGAAAATGATCCTTCTTCGTTATACCACTGTATCAGTTGTTGTTCTATGTCCATTACTGGTGCGACGTTGAAGGATAGCCATTCCATGGACATTGCAATTTCACTTTGTCGGGCTAGCTCTGTTAAGAAGAAGAGATGGGCGAATAGGTCGCGAGGGCAGCCAGTTAGGTCGAAAAATGACCATTCGTCTTGCTTTTCCCAGCGTACGAGGAACTCTAGGTATGAGCGATGCATGACAGTTCCTTGTCGGGATATCAGAGCGAGAGTCGCATCCCACCTGCGTAATTGGTTATTTATAGGCTTTCAGGGAGCGGAAGCATGTCCTTACCAGAGTAGCATGCCAACTTGGGATCGTACTCGAGGTGTCGTAAGAGCACTGGGACCACCACACGCTTGAAGGAGCGAATGTGCACGGTTGAGGTGGGTCGTCCACGATCCGGCAGCGGACATGGCGCACTAGATACGTGGTTAGACAGCTAGGTTCGAAATACAGGGTTCAGGTTGCATACATCAAGCGTAAAAAGAATAAGTATTGGCTCTAGCAGGTGAAATTGACTGTTCGCTTGTTTGCTCTGCAGCGCCCCTTCAAGCAACTGAAGAGCCTTGCGCCGATGTTCCTCTGCTTCAGCTGACCAACTACCCGTAAGGCGTTTCAAGTGCTGGCAACATAGTGCTAATATGGAATGGAAGAGTATGTGCGACCCCTGCGGTAACTGGCGCTGACAGCGAAATGGGTTGATTGAGATATCTGACGTCAACGGCAAGACACAAAACTCAGAATCGTCTAGCGGTGAATGTTAGTAGCCCCCAAGGCGTATGTCTCAAAGCGCTGCCAAGAGCCTTACACATATCCAAAAGGAGATCATGGTCTTGCGGTGATAACTCAAAGATTGTGGACTTTCTAGGAAGAGAAGAGGGGCCTTGTGGAATGGAACACCTCGAGCTATTGAGATCAAGGTCCTCACATCGGAGGTTTTGGATAGACTCAAAAGGTGTGGAGCCCAGCGTCTGGATTACGAGCTGGTCTTGGGGTGAGTCTTCGGCAGGCATTGATTCATTCAATTCGTCAATGCCAGAAAACGGGTTCGATTGGGCTAGTAAGGAGGGGAGACCCGGGGAATCCGTCATCAATGGCTCCTGTAGACCAAAATCAAGATGTGGTACCGACTCAAAGATGTTCGGCGCGAAGGAGTCGATTAAATTGAAGTCCTCCCATAGCCTGCCGTCGAATATCTCTGATAGTAAATAACACTTTCTGTAAGTTTATCACCAGAGTCACAGTCATACCGAATACCCTTACCTGGTTCATGGTTGGCCAGGTCTTCCCCAGATTGGGCATCTCCTGTCCTAAACGTGTCCTCCTCACTTACCCCTTCGGGAAGTATCTCGGCATCCGTTCCAGTCACAGCCTCATCACGATACTCCACTGCTTGGCTCTCTACCGTTCTAGTCCCCCCGTCGTTGCGGGTTCTCCGGCGCTTCCTTGGCTTGGACCCAGCTGTGACGAACCGGAAGGGCCGACGCGGTGCTGGCATAGTACTATTGCGATTAAGACCTGATGTGGCCGAGTCCGGTTGACTGGTCACGAATGCAGCAGGATTATTTCTTGTATCCTCCCCACTTGGGATGTCATCATGGTTTGCTGAAAAAGCCTTGGTCCACATCCGTCTGGAGTCCCAGGATAGAGGAGTCGCAAACCCGCCACACTTTCGACCTAACGAGAGGCAGGTTGAACATTGCGGACGGCGGCGATCACAATGCTCCCCAGTTGATGTGCAAGTATGACAATCTGACTGGGCAAATGCAAGGGAGTTCGTCCTCTTTCCTTGATTGGCAGAGGCAGTAATAGTGTCTGGTCGCATTCTGTGCGCAGACAGGGAAATACGGCGTGTGAACAGCGTGTGGATGAACAAGAAGCAAGCGTGGGTGAAAAACCGTTCTTGTATATGAAGAGTAGGAAAGACCGGCTCGATGAGGTGCCGGGAACTTTCCCGGGAATATATCGGAATGACTCCACACGAGTCATGTACTATTTCCCACAAACTTGGTTCAGCCAGCAACCGAAAATTCATTGTGGTGTAGATACTACTAACTACACCTAGTTCGTATCTCCCCGCCCCCAATTCTAAGTTTACACCCCCCACTCCATATCCCAGCTATGACAGGACAGCCAATATTAATTCATAACATGATTTACATGAACACCGGCTATCTATCTTTAAACTATCCTACCGGTCCTCACGAACCAAGTTCCGGTACGGGTTATTTGGGTCCTGCGCCTCTTCCTCCGGGGACTGGATGGTCTTCCTGACGCGGCAAGGGCTACCAACGGCAACAGAGTACGGTGGAATATCCTTGGTTACGATAGATCCGGCACCAATCGTCGACCCCTTGCCGATTCGAACTCCGGGAAGAATCACCACGTTTCCGCCAATCCAGCAATCATCTTCGATGAAGATCGGATGTCCAAACTCCACGAACTTCTGACGCGAAAGTACGCTCGTATCGTGACCAGCGCTGAAAATACTCACATTGGTTCCGATCTGCACCCGGTCTCCGATAACAACAAGACTTGTGTCCAGGACAGTCAAACTAGCACACAGTCAGCCTGCCGATACTCTCTGGTTCGGCACGTATGCTACTTAGTAGTACTCACTTCCAGTTAACGAAGCAATTGCTTCCAATGATGATATTGCAACCGTAGTCTGGCAGAAATGGCGGCTCCACAAAGGTGCCCTCGCCTACCCTGCCCACCACTTTGCGAAGTAATTCTAGTCTCTTGTCGAATATTTGGTCGTACGATACGGTCCTTGTGTCCAGATTATTATAGTCTGCGGCCAGACCGCGGCAACGATGACGTGCTTCGAGCAATTCTGGTTTATTCGGGTTGTACCTGACATTCGTCTTTAAGCATCACTATATCCCCGGCTCTGTGTTTTACCAGTATAGGAGTTAACCTACATCATGCCTGAAATCATACGCTCGTAGTCTTCACATTGTGGGATACCCCGCAATCCACGGGATAGTTCGATAATCTCGGGGCGCTTTTCTGTTGCCGCCATTTCGAATAGCCACTAAGGATGGTCGGATATGAAATAGTTGTGAGAGAAGAATCAAAGATAAGCAAGGTAAAGAAGGTGCCAGATAAGTATCCAGCAAGGAATAATCAAAGGTAGCTTATGGTCCATCCCGCTTTATATCGGTGCAACCAATCCAGGCAACTGAAGCGGGTCGCTGCCTTGGCTGCCTATTCGGGTAATAATGCCAGCCCCGAAGTTTCAGCGAGCAGTAGAGTCGCATCTTCCCCCCGCCTTCCGGTTAGGGTATAACTTACGGTAGAATAGGTGAATCCTACTTTTGTTGAATTCCTGTCTGGCCGTTGCCTTATGCCGAGGTAATTAGGGCGTTTTGCTTGTTTGTTGAGTTAGGCCTCATATTGATACGATCTGGACAACCGGTCAATTCCGATGCTAGAGATCCGCCAATTTGCCATGGATGGCAATCAAGCCGGGAAAATCCCGTCGGTTGTGAGGTAAGAATGTCCTCTCACATTTGCAATCAAGATGGCTACCGAGGAATGCTTATTGGTAAATAAAGGTTGGATTACTACTCCGTAATTGGGTCAATATTCATAGGAAAGCGGGACGATATGGGATGAGCCTTCGCATGAGGGGGTGGATAACCGCCCTCGCTGGAAATGAGTCGAAAAACACCCGCCCATATCTCGTCTAGAATTTAGCCTTGATAGTGGTCTTGGCTTTTGGCTCGATCTCCGCGGCGATGTCCTGCGCTGCTAAACAGCCCTGCTCCAAAGCCCCGTCAATCGCGGCTCTCCAACCATGAGCCCAGTCTGCCGAAGCGAAAAGCACATTCCCATGACGACTCTGTAATTCTTCCTGGTACTTTGTCATATATTCTGGCCGCCACCAGGCTGGTCCACCCAACGACCAAGGATCCGTAATCCAATTGTGGAATATCTGACCAGCATTAGCCATGTGGTAGATTAATGTCGAGACAAGATCTTCACTCACCATCTTTTTCACTTCCATTGGATGTAGGTTCTTGAATGCGTCAACAGTCCGCTCAGGCTCACGCTCGGGGACGTAGTTTGCCCTCTCATCCTTTCCAAAACCAACAATATGTGCATTTCCGTTCTCGGTAACCCCATCGCCGTAGCCAAACATGAGCAGATTGGGATACCGCATTCCGTTCCAAGATGCCAGACCTGAGCCTTCCACCTCTGCATGGATCTTGGTCATGAAGTTGACATGTCCAATTTCAAGAGCTTCCCTTCGCTTGGAAGACAACGGGGGGCTGAACTGAATAGTATGAAGGACGTTGAGAGGAATAGTGGACACGAGTCGCTGCGCCCGGTAGACCGTTCCAGCAGTTGTCTGCACTTCAACTACGTTCCCATTGTCACGTATCGCTTGTACCGGAGTCTGGAAAGAATAATCAAGCCCATGAGCCACAGCGTCGTCGAACATTCGCTTCGCCAGCTCTGACTGGCCCTCACGGAGCTTAAAGGTCGTCCAAATGGGCCCAAAATTCTCAGAATTATGCGACATGAGAGCATGAGAGCGAATCATATCCCACAGACTAGAGTTTTCCATGCTCCCACCCGAGATGTGAAGGAGCATGGCAACCAGAACCCCGGCTTCCTCGGCCGTGAGCAAGTGTTTGATTTTCTCGAAGCGGTCACGGCAGGAGATTTTATCGTAGAGCTCAACCTCCTTTCGGTCTGTGATGATGTTCTCTAGCTGTGCGTGTGGCAGCGGGCAGATCCGACGACAGTTTGCGCCATCCACGTTGACAAAGATGTCCCATGCTCGGGAAGCGATCTTTCCCCCTTCTTCGTGGGTTAATTTGCGGGGAGCAGCACCTACGTCAACATGTAAGTCGTTGCCATCCAAAACAATCACTAGACAGAATTTAGAAAGTACCTGGGACATTCAGAGTGTAGTAGTCATTCTCATACTCGCGGTGGTGGGTCAGGAGAAGATCACGATCCATTTTGTACCTAACCATCTCCTTGAACAAGTAGGCCATATGATGGGTGACCCAAGTTCCACCCATTTCGTACTTTATTCCTGTCTGCAGTCAGCCCTATAAGTTGACACCAGCTAGTTATATTTACCATCTGCTTCCACTGTATACGTGCGACCGCCAACCCGGTCGCGGGCCTCGAGCATTAGCACCGAATGGCCTATCACAACATTAGTTCAGACCTCTCACAGAGAGCCTGCATTTACTTTGAACATACCACGGTCTGTCAAGTCACGAGCAGCCATAAGACCGGCATAGCCCGCGCCAATAACGATTGCATCGTAACTGTGCCCGGCGGGAGTGATTTTCTTGTATCGAGGCTCCACCACGCCTCTACAGACAAGGCCCCCTTTTCGCATTCCCGTCGCACGGGTCCAAGAATATCCATCTTGGGTTTTCCTTACTGGGAACGACATAGTGGCTAGGGATGTTAGAACCAAGAGAAGTGCTATACTATGTGTCGAATTGCACTTGGGGATGGCAAGCGGAAGATCCACACGGGCGAGTAAGTTATTTTAATCCTTAGCTGTCATTTTCTTGGTTTTTTACCCAAAGAGGCAACCGAGACTGGTACAACTGTATCTTTTGTATTATATACCATATTCTAGTAGCCTTGTAGTAGATGTCATATGTATATATCAATTCAACATGTTGCTCTTCCCATGCCTACGTTTCATATACTATTCATCAGTTCCCCCTTAACTATATATACAAGTCTCACAACAACGGTACCCAACATCATCCCATCATTCAACTAGAATGTCCTCTCCAACAATTACATACAAAAACCTCCCAGGTCCAGTAGGAGACTGCCTCAAGCCCTCCTCCCTCTCAACAACCGCCACCGTGCCCGTCTCACCCACAACCTCCCTCGTCTTCACTACCGGCCATATCGGTCTCGATTTGAAAACCGGTGCTCTCGTCAACAGTTCCCCTGAAGCCGAGTTCGAAGCTATATTCAACTGTCTCGATGAAGCATTGAAGCATGCGGGAATCACAACCGGACTCTGCCAGGCGTATAAATTCGTCAGCTATTTGACAAGCGCCCAGGATGAAGCTGTCATGCAGCGTATTTTCCATCAGAGGTTTCCCTATGCTACCCCTACTTGGGCTACTGCTATTGTGAAGGAGATAAATGTGCCTGGTATGCGTGCGGAGATTGTTGCGGAGGCAGTGCTGTTTAATGATGCCTGAGTTTGGTGGTGGGATGCGGGTGAAGGCTGCAGTTGCTTCTCTATTCTGTCAATAATCGTTGCAGGATGAGGTGGGCTTGTGGTTTGGCTCTGCAGGTGCTCACTTCTTTATTCCATCACTACTGTAACCGTCCGTTATGTTATTGAGCTCTAATCCTAGTTAGATGACACCATTTGAAAGTTTCCCGCTGGACATTATATATAATTATTAAGAAGTTCTAGTAGATTTATAATAATATAAACTTATTTTCTAAAGCTGGTATACAAAATGTATATTCTCAATATATAATTCATCTAACTCATATACATACCTTTTCCAATGTCCTGGTCTATTTACACTCCTAACTCTGGTTGTTTTATAATTATTTTTCTTTTTCATCTTTAGGAAAAGGCGGGGGGGTTGAAGAGAAATGTATTCAATAATCGGCAAAGCCTTTTTATGATACTAAGATAGACTGATCTAGTCTGTAGTGAAGTAAATTCAGGATCTTTAACGATCGCTCTTTACAGCAGTTTTCTTATAAGATGAAATTTCTATACGAAACATTAACACCCTCGTGTCGGAGTTTTCGAACAACGTCTTCTCTTCCTATAGCCGTCAAGGACGAGGCGCCCTCTTCACGCCCCGAGAAAATGCTTGAATAACGTCGTTGACAATTCCCGGATCAGCCAGCTGGACAAGTTAGCACCTTCACCGGAAATAGCATTCAACTGAACATACCGTTGAGGTATCGCCAAAATCAGTATCGCCACTCGCTATCTTCCTCAGGATACGGCGAACAATTTTGCCGCTTCTTGTCTTCGGAAGCTCGCGAACAATGATCACCTTCTTTGGGACAGCAAAGGGACCAATTGATCGTCTAGTCTGTAGCACTAATTCGTTCTCAATTTCTGGTGGTTTGTCTAAGGTCTTGAGCGACACGAATGCATTGATTGCTTGGCCTGTCAGGTCATCCGCGACACCGATTACAGCGATTTCCGCCACAGCTCCTGGACCAATGATTCATCAGTTGCCTGCTGGCATTGCGTCCACTTATTTTACCAACGTATGGGTTGTGAGTCACTTACCGTGCTCGATAGCTGCACTTTCGATCTCTGACGTGGACAACCGGTGGCCAGAGACATTGATAACATCGTCGATACGGCCTCTAATCCACAAGTGGCCGTCGAAATCACGAAACGCGCCGTCTCCGGTGAACTTTGAAACTCATTAGTAACATTCTTGACGTCCCGATTATCTGTGAGTATTCATGTACATAGTAACTGTTGGCTACGGGCAGGATCAGTGGCTCTGAGATACGTGGCCAACAGGAAGAGACGTGTCGCCAGAGGAGAGATAAAGAGGTAATCTTAGATTATATAATTATTATTATTTATATATTCTCCTGGGCACGAGACCCTGAGATATTATAATATTATTTTAATTATTTAAATAGTAAGCTATAATATATATCTTATTATTAAGCTTGTTTAATAAGGTAGATTATCTAATAAAATTTCTAATAACTAATAATATTAAAAGATTTTATTAATTTATTTACAGGATTCTCTGTACTATCTATGTATATAATTTTTAATAAGTTTTCTTTATAATAATCTTAAATAAATAGTAAATAATTATTAATTTATTAATTATTTAAAGCAAAGATCAGGTTCTCTATAAATAACAGTATATTAGCTAAATCAATAAAGACTAGAATTATTTTTAAAATAATAAAATCAAGTACTTATACCAGTTTCTTAATTTAAAGAATTTCTTTAATAATCTTATTAAATATAATATACTTTACTAGAGTTAATAAACTTATAATTATTATTTATTTTTTATTATTCTAGAATACTAGGAAGCCCGTGTAAAAGATTATATAAGATTTTATAGATTTTTTATTTATATAATTCTAGAAAATAATATTAATATAAATTTTAAGTATTACTTTATGATTGAGGATAAATATTAAATTAAAATAATTATTTATTAAATAATACAGAAGATTCTTTACTACTATAATATTAAATAATAAAAATATATAATTTTAATATTAAAGACAGAAGATAGTATATATTATATTTAATTATATTTATATATTTAACTAATTTAATTAATTAAGTAATTATATATATTATTTAATATTTTTTTAATTAAAGCTTAAGTCCTCTGGACAGTAGTTCTAATAATTTAAATTTATAAATATATATTAAAATAAAAAATTATTTATTTAATAAGAAACTAGTAAATCCTCTATATATAAATATTAATTAAAAATTATTATTTTAACTTTTTTATTTCTAATTAATATATTATCTAAAAAATATACTAGAAGTTCCAGGTACTTAATCTTGAAATACTAGAATATATTATTAGTAATATTATTAATATTTATAATAATCTAATTAGTAAGAATAAAATTATTAATATAAATAATAATAATTACAGATCCCTGGAAATAGATATATAAATTTTCTATAATTAATTTAAATTCTATTTTTTAAAATTATTAATTAAATTTCTTATTCTAGAGATAATTTATTTATTATAAGCTATATAAGATCTGTTACAGAAGACAGATATTATTAGAATTTTATTTAAAATCTATAAACTAGTATATATAGATTTTATAATTATCTATTATATTATATAAGAAAATAATTATAATATTAATTTATTTTTATACTAGGCTTACTAGCTTCTGGATAATTATTATAATTAATATTATTTTTATTAATATTTTAAAAATAACTAGAATATATATAGTATCAAAATCCTCTTCTAATTTCTAATAATTATTATATATAACTTATTATATTTTAAAATATATAATATAGCTATCAGTATCTTCTTTTAAAATATAAATTTACTTATTTAGAAGTATATAAATATTCTAGTAATCTATTAAAAAAGAAATTATCTAATAAATCTTTATATTTAATAAATTTTTAATTTTTATAATTATAGCTTTATACTATAAGTCTACATGAGGTGACTTTATTATTATTTTATAAAATAATAAAATTATAATATTAATAATCTGTAATCCTGGCTTTATTATTAAATATATTTAATTATTTCTATATTATTTTAATAGGATTTCTTTTATTATTTATAATAATATATATTATTGTATTTCCTGGAGTTCAGTAAATTTTAATTTTTAAATTATTATAAAAAATACAGGAGCTTAGCTTTAGATTTCTATATTTTTTAATAAAATTACTTAAAATATTAGGATTTATAGAAAATCAGATATTATAAATTATTATCTAGAATATTCTAGGCCTCTGCTTAAAAAAATAATAATATTTTTATTAAATAAATAATTCTATTTTTCTTATCTTTATAAAGATTTAGATACTAAATATAAAAATTAATTAAATCTCAGTAATACTGGTTGGAGATAAAAATTTTATTTATATAAAATCTATAATATTAGAAACTAATAGAATTAAATAAGTATTCTAGCTAGTTCTAATAATTTATTTAAAAATATAATTATTACAGATTTAGAATAGTTAATATCTATTAATTTAGGTCTATCTATATTTATTAAATTATTTAATATATTTAATAAAGATATACAGGTCTCTAATTTCTACTATTTAATTAAAAAATATATTAAAATTATTAATAATTATTTAATCTATTCCATATATTTTTATATTATTAGAAATTAGTTTTTTTTATATAATTAAATTTAAAATATTCAGGGCGCAGCCGGCATTCTTAATATAAAAAATAATATTTAAATATAATTTTATATTAATAATTCTTAATTTATAAATATAGCTGGAACAGGTATCAGAATTTATAAAAATAAATTAAAAACTAGAAATAAAATAAATACTACCTGCTACTACTTTAAAAATATAAATAAATAATAAAAATATATTTTATTCTTTATTAATTAATTAGATTATAGAGCACCTCCTAGAAGAATAATCTAATTTAATTTATTTTTATTATCTTTATAAATCTTTAATTTAATAAACTTAATATCTCAAGATTAGTAAATTTAATTATTTTTAAAAATCTAAATTTTAAAAATATAACTATAATCACCTTCATATCTAATTAAATAATTAATATTAATATATTCTATTATCTTTATTAATTATATATAATTAGTTTATAATATATAAATATAAGCTTAGTATCTATAGATTTATAGATAATTAAGAATTAATTTAAGATTTAAAATATTATAATATTTTTATTATTTTTAGATCAGAGATTTCCTGCTAGAATTATTAATATAAAAAAATTAGTTAATAATTATATTTATAATCTTTATTATAAAAAATTAAAATTCCTGTAGTAAGCCTACATTAATAATTATAATATAAGTAGTTTAATTAATATATTCTTTATAATACTTAAATGAACTATTAGTCTTTAATATATAAAATAAAATTATTATTATCTTAATATTTTCAGTTTCTGTTTATTTCTTAAAGTCTTAAAATTTATTATTATTATTTATTTTCTAGTCTTATATATTATATCCAGTCATATTCTTATATTTCTTATTAAAATTAATAAGATTTTAGATTATATTAGACTTTATTTAGAGAAAATAAACTTCAGATTATTAGATTACAGGATTAACTATAATAAATATATAAAGAAATCTATTATAATCTGTTAATTTAATGATTTATAAATCTATAATTTATAAATTTATTAAATTAATTAAGATAATAATTAGAATACAGAAGACTAGATATTTAAACTTAATATAAAAATATATATTATAATTAAAATTTAAAATATCTTCTATCTAAATCTCTTTATAAGCTATAATTATTATTTTTAATCTAGAAGTTCCTATATATTTTAATTATTTATATAATAAATATAAGTCCAGCTTAACTGTTATAACTTAAATATTTATATTTCTAAAAATCTTGATAAAAAGAATATTATATTTTATATTAAAATAAATAATAATTTTATATATTCTAATCTTCTAGATTATCTAATCTAAATATAACTAGTATTTATATATTTTCTTAATCTAATTTTAGCTTAAGATACTAAACTATATATTTAAATTATAATATATTTAATTTTTAATTATTATAAATTAATTATGTCCAGTATTAAATTTAATTAATATTATTTTAATTTTTATAGCTTAGCCCTGTCCAGTATAAGAAATTTTATATTTATATAATTTTTTATTAGAATAAAAATCCTGATAATTAATAAATTATATAAAATCTGGAGTAATATATTAATTAACTTTAATATTTTATAATTATTTAGACTTCATGATTAATTTAGATATATTTATTATTATACTAGAAAATTAGAATATATTATCATAGTAGATAATAATATTAAATTATACTAGAAGTTCCAGATAGGCTAATTAAGTATTTATTTTAATTATTAAAAGATTTAGAGATATTATTATTTAGATCTAGTTTATTTATTAATTATATTAATAAATAAAGATTCCTGATTATGAATGTTATTTCTTTTATTATTTAATTAAAATTAAATATATATATATAAAAATATTATATAAATATTATATATAATAAAAGCAGAGTTTCTCTATATATATAAATTAGAATATAAGTTATTATTTAATTTATTTATTCTTATTTATATCTGTGGGTGGCCAGCATTTATAATCTTTAAAAATATTTATTAATTTATTATTTTAATTTTTATTATTTACTCTGCGGTCTTTTTATTAAATTATATTTAATAAATTTATTATTATATTTACAGATATTTTATTTATCTTAATTACTGTTTTAACTTTTTCTAAAATCTTAATATATAATTTATAGAATTAGCTATTAATAAATTTACTATTATTAAAATTATTAAATTATTTTTTAATTATATTATATTATCCCAGTAAGTCTGACTATATATTAATAAATAAAATAATTACAGTAAAATAAGCTGGATAGTTATATATTAATTATTAAATAAAATTAAAGATTTCTCTGAAGCTATTAATATACTGTAAAATTATTAAATATTAATTTTAATATATCTTATAAAACTTAAATATAATAATCTTATATTTATTAAATCTTTTATTTAATATAATTTTTTTAATTTTATCAAATGTCTTATTAGTATAGTAATTTTTAATATTTTTATCTTATAATTTTATAAATATTTTTTATAAAATTTAGCTAGTTAACTAGGAGAAGATAAAAATATTTTAATTTTTTTATAATTAATAATTAGTACTGGTTACAGCCAGTCAGGAAATTATAATATTAATTATTAATATATAATAAAGAATTTAAAGCTTATTATATTTTTTAAATTATTATATTTTAAAATTTTCTTTTCCAGTTAATTAATCTTTAAAATCTGATAAAATATTTAGTAATTTACTATTTAAAGTTCTTTTATTCTAATTTATTTAATTATCAGCTGCTAGTAGTTATGCTGGATTTATTAGATTTATTAATAATAATTATTATTTTTTAATTAATATTATTATGGATTTATCTGTATAATCTGATTAGAATAATATTTATTTTAAATATAGAATTATTATATTATTATAATTTGTTTTCAGACATGTCTTAGCACTGGATAATTATCTTAATTAATAAATATTAATTTAAATACAGTTATTTTTAATAAAAATTAATAAAAATTAATGATTTTTAATATATTTAGTTATTTTTCAAGCTTACCAGACTTATAACCTATTAGTTACGGGCAGGATCAGTGGCTCTGAGATATATAGCCAACAGAAAGAGACGTATCACCAGAGGAGAGATAAAGAGGTGGCCTTGGGTCATGTGACCACCATCATTCACAGTAACCCTTGTAAACGTCAAGATAGCTCTCCATGTATCGCCTGTGGTCCCCACGAATGGTTCGGGCCATACTAGGCCAAGGCTGCTTAATAGCCAGAACACCCTCCACTGAGTACCCCTCTAGTTTCTTTCCGCTTACCGGGTCAAGAATAGCTGCGTCAATCCCAAAACACGGTAGGGAGGCGCTCCCTGGTTTCACTGGAGTGACACCAGCCATGGCTGCTATGATGTGGGAGCCTGTTTCAGTTTGCCAGTATGTCTGAAAGTAGCATGCTGTCAGAATACAGTCGCAAATCACAATTAGATTTAGGGGGCCAGAACTCACATCGGTAATATAAGCCTTATCATTTCCCATGAAGTCAGAGTACCATTTCCAGACCTCAGGAGCAATTGGCTCGCCAACTGACCCAAGTACGCGCAATGACGACGTGTCAAATCCTGCCACATCTTCCTTGCTGACTGACCTCTTCAACAACCGTAGGGCTGTGGGTGCAGCATAAAAATGTGTCACGGCATGCTTGGCAATTATCTCCCAATATCGCGTGTAGCTTGGATAGGCAGGGGTTCCTTCGAATATAACTGTCGTGCAACCGAGCAATAAAGGCGCGTATGCCATGTATGTGTGGCCGGTGATCCATCCAATATCTCCAGCACAAAAGAATATGTCGTCTTTGTGAACGTCGAAAACGTATTTCCCCGTCACTGCAGCTCCTAATAGATATCCTGCCGTGCTATGAAGGACACCTTTAGGTTCTCCAGTTGAACCGGACGTATAAAGCATGAAGAGGCAGTCTTCCGAGTCCATAGGTTCTGGCGAGATATACGTAGGGAATTTTTGAAGCTCTTCATTCCACCAGAAATCTCTGCCAGTGACCCAAGGCACTTGGCTACCCGTCCGCTCGTAGATTAATACAGCTGAAACACAAGGGCAGTCCTTGAGTGCTTCATCAACAATGTGCTTTGTTGGAATTGATTTTCCACCGCGGCGGCCTTCATCAGCTGTTATAACGATCTTTGAATTGGCATCTACGATGCGGTCCCGTAAGGCCGCCGCTGAGAATCCTGCAAAAACAACCGAATGAACTGCTCCAATCCGAGCACAGGCGAGGAGGGAATAGATAACCTCCGGGACCATTGACATGTATATTGTGACGATGTCGCCCTTTTTCACTCCTTGAGAACGCAGGAAACCAGCCAGTTTTGAGACATGGCCGAGGAGCTCTCTGTATGTCACTCGTTTAACAACCTGGTTAGGGTCGTCTGGCTCGTATATGATGGCAACGCGGTCCGGATCGTCAATCATATGTCGATCAATGCAGTTGAAGGAAGCATTTAGTTGGCCTCCAAGGAACCAGGCGTTATACCCGTCCTCAAAAGAACCAATATGAGAGGTATGAAAATCTTGAGTAAACCACAGAAGCTCACGGGCCTGGTTTGACCAGAATTGCGACGGTGATTCGATGGACTGCTTGTAAAGATCATGGTATTGGAGCATATTGTCAAGGTGTGGTTGGCCGGGATGTCTTTCCCGCCATTTGAAGGCGACAGTCATGACGTCGGGGGCCATGTTTCGATAAATGAAGGTAGCTTAACGTCAGTTCACTGACAGTTGAGATAAAGGAATTTATATTCGCGATTATCAGCCTCACCTTACGATTTCTATATCCTCATCGGAAGCCTTTGGCACAGACTAAAACGGGAATGATGTGACTGCCGGCCCACCTTCCTCATTAGGTATATTTTGTTCGGGAGTCACGCACTCACAATTGAGGATAACTTGTACTCTCCATCCGGCAGGAACATCCCTCAGAGAAGAGCATGCCACAGTAATCCCATTCGGAGACTCAATCTCGTCAATAGTAACCATGCAACTTTTGGCAGCCGCTGATGCTGCTGCTCGCGCCGAAATAGACAGTCGAACCGATGGTGTCTCCCCACAAATCCCCGGGCTTGTATACTGTGCTGTGAACAGGGCTGGAAACACAATTTTCAGTCATGCTTCTGGCAAAACATCTCTGGATGGGAACTCTCCTATGACCATGGACACCATATTTTGGCTTGCATCCTGCACTAAGCTCGTCACCAGCATTGCATGCATGCAGCTGGTAGAGCGCGGAACACTCGAGCTAGACAATAGTGCTCAGCTTGAGTCACTTGCACCCGAGCTCAGAAATGTTCAAGTGCTTGAACGTACTGCAGACGGCAAGTTTCACTTGGTGCCGAAGCAACGGAGCATTACTCTGCGAATGCTTCTGAATCATACATGTAGGATAAGATTATTTCTTCCATTTCTTCCATTTCTCCCATTGACAAACTCCCGCTAACATTTTCATCATGATTCCAAAAGCTGGTTTTGGATATGCTTTTGAAGATCTCAAATTACGTGACTGGTCACGGCCGGTCGGGCTCGATGACTTTTCCGGCAATGTGAGTGATGTGCTTCATCGCCCGTTAGTCAATCAGCCTGGCACGAAGTTCCAATACGGAGTTGGTTTAGACTGGGCCGGCGTTATTGTCGAACGAGCCTCTGGTTTATCGCTCGAGGACTATTTTCAATTATATATTTACCAGCCGCTGGGTATCAAAGACATCAGCTTCTTTCCCACGACTGAAATGAAACTTTCTCTGGCTGCTATGCATCAACGGGCCAAGGATGGGACGTTGAGCGTCAGGGATCACCTCTATAGATATCCGTTACTCCCTCCAAATCCAGGCGGAGAGGAAGACCGCTTTTGCATGGGAGGAGCGGGTTGTTTCGGGAAACCACTTGAGTTCTGCAGTACGTATCTCTACTCCTTTTCGACTTGGGCGTTGCTGGGGGCTTACCGTGTATGCCTGTCCCCTCAAATAGGAATCGTCGCAGCACTTCTTAACGATGGAACAAGCCCTCATACAGGCGCAAAAATTGTTACTTCGGAAACAGTAGAAGGTAGGATCAGGATTTCTCCAAGTCTAGTCCTATCTACTAACTGAATTTTCATAGAAATATTCACAGACCAAATCCCCACAATGCCACGATACTGCAACGAGTACACACCGTCGGGTAAACCGGAACTCGCGAACCCTTGTCCGCTAATCCCCTGTTCAGAAGACCTCACAGAGGGCTGGGGCCTATCCTTCTCATTAAGCCACACCGAAAGGCCCAGTGGAAGGGCTGCAGGATCAGGTTCTTGGGAGGGACTAGCAAATCTCTTCTGGTTTGCCGATCGTACGAATGGAATCGGCGGCATTATCGCATCTCAGATACTTCCTTATGGAGGTAAGTGACGGTCTATTTCAGGCGAGCTGGAACCTTATGTACTAAAGGTTGACTACTAGATCTTGAGGTCATCAATTGTTCTGAAAGTGTGGAGAAGATTATCTATAACGGGCTTTCTAACAAAGAAGATGGCGGGTGCCATTGATAAGGTGCCTGCTTTGGATACTTTGATGTATGGACACTAATCGCTGTTTTTACTCATGTTATCCTATTGAAGTCGATGGTTAGAGTAGGCTCGCGACAAAGTACATTCATGGATAAAATAACTTTCAAGCTGAATTCATAGTTGGAGTAAATTGGTATTTCTCGGTTCCAGCCTCTGATTGACATAATTTTGTTTGTCTACCTTGAAACGATGTATTCTTCTAGTGCTACTTAGTACTACGTACCATCACAATATTGGTGAATGAGAAAGAATGTATTACAGTTTCCGATAGCAAAGGTGAAGCTTTTACGTAGCTAGTACTCAATCAAGCCAGCTGTTTTCTACTTATACTATCTACAAAGAGCTTATTAACTCAATAGAACAGCACTTTCAACTTGATGTCATCACTAAACGCGACAGTGACTTTTCTCAGCCACTATCTCAGAAAGCTGTCCCAGCAGTATGATATTCTTCATCCAATCGAAAACAGCTATACTTGCTCTAATCTCTTTATCAAACTAGTGCTTAAAATTTATTATATTAAATAAATCCATTCTATACATGTGTACAGGCTTAAAGAGGTTCATATTGAAAATTAAGAATCTTAATATATTAGTAAATAATCTTAGCTACTATTGACCCAATAATCTGATTTATTTATTTCTCTATAAAAGAAAGTATCTTTGAATTGCTTATCCTACCTCTAAGTACTAAGTACTTTAGGTATCAGCAATAGCGTAGATCGCCAAATAGATAATAACACTAGAGAAGGATTCTGTCTCCTCCCAGGGACTCTAACGAGTCATGAGATGACATGTTAATATCGGGAAGGAAGGAAGAATAGGGAAAGAGATGGGGTGTGGGAGTGGAGGGAAGATCAGCATTGGGGATTGGGGATTTATCCTGTTCGGGGTAAGCGTAACGGCTGGTAGTCTGTTACCTTTTTGGGAAGGGAGGGTATACAGTAGGGTGGGTGTGGGGGGGATATGATATGACAGCTGGATTATGATTGATCCTGATTTGGGGTTTTGGGTTACCTGGTACTTATTATCTACTAGTACTTAGGGGGATGAATGATGTAAAGCAAAACTATTTGTATGAAATTGAGTACTAGTATAAGTTATGAATTAAATCTGCACCATACATTAATTCAAATAATGCAAAAACAACATCAATCCCTACTTGTTTTGAAAATACACATTTCCATACAATCTCTCTTTCCCAAATTGTATTGAAAGATGTACATATGCCCACTGCTAATTATAATAATAACACCCGGAATATAACCTACAGACCAGACCAGCACAATGCCGAAAGAGTAAATACTCTGCTGCTTGCTGCTGGTGGCACAACACCCCCTCACTCACACCACACACACCACACCACACTACACACCAGGCCACGCCAACAACCCAACCCAACCCAACGGGTCAACTTACTTACTTACAGTAATTCCACCACTTTGGACTCACCCATCCCGGTAACTTAACATACCGTCTTATGCATCGGCATTCCGCATTGGGTCCTTGGCACAGCGAGACTACCGTCTACCTGCATTTTTGTGGGGAATAAATAGTAGACCCTATTCCTGGTTTAATATGATGATAGTATCCTACCTAAAGAGAAGAAGTACCTATACAGTATACACATATATTTCTTTGTCTTGTGGTAAGATAAGTACGTTACACAGTATCTATTTATCCATCTACAGAGGTGAGTGAGTGAGTGAGTGCCAAGACCCACTTCCTTCCTTCACTGTGTACACTGTACAAGTACACAACTGTAGATTAGCTGATAATTTCCTCACATTAATTAACGAAATGAATAATCTTCATAATATAAGTAAGCACTATAACCCCTCCCCTCCAACAGCCTACCTACTACTACTAACTAGCACCACACTGCTACTTACCATCCCACCAAACGTCCATGAATGATCCGTGCATGAACATCCGCTATCCGGCCGAATCCTCCTCTCCTTACGGGATTTGGTCGGCGTTTGCACAATCGACACTACAAAAAAAATCTACTCCGTATCTGCGCGAGTCAGGGGTAACACATCGCCAGCCTCATTGGCAGTACGTACGTATCGAATAATTTATTTTAGTACGTAGGGGCTATTTATTCATTTTTAATTTATCGGGTTTCCGGTTTGCTGGGACCGGGAAATTGGATCAACTTGATGAAGTATCAGGTTAGTAAGTAGTTAGTAGATACTAGACACACCGCGTGAGGGATGTGATGTGGGCAGTCTCTGCATCCATCCATCAGTCCTCATGCACAGTGCTCGGAAGAGGATAACCAAGTCACCGGGAGTTGGAGTGACAGGAAAAAGTACTTCCTGCCCAATGGACAATTCCAATCAAGCCAAGAGAGCTTTGCTGTCATACACACTGTTACAGACTTACTATAGGAGAATTTACCCCCCGTGCATCATGCGATGTGCAGTCAACTTGCCGGATGAGAAGAAGAAAGACAACGCCAAAGCGCCGGGAACCGGACCCGGCCAACATCAACCCATTCTTGCGGGGCAGTGGAGCTAGCTGGGTACTCCCTGGAAGGATTCAGGAGGCCAAGCTGATGTTTGCTCGATCCCACGCCAGCCATCATTTTCATCGGGGGGGTCTGGATCCCTCAACTTAAGGCCAAGGTACGGAGTATACCGTTACTGCTGCTGGCTATTGGTTGATAACGGCCATTTAACATACGCAGCGGGGCGTACCGATTCCCACCGTGCCATTTAAGTTGGGACCACAAGTGGCTCCGGTTGACCCGTGGCTTTGGCCTTTCCCGACCAGCTGGCTGACTAGTGGCTCCTGCTCAGCTTAGTTTGCAGGGCATTGTGCCACCGTTCAGCTGGTTCGCCACGGCGTCCAAACTAAGCATAACAAGAAGATTACACAACAGGGAGTAACCAGGAAAGAATCAGGTGCCACAGAGTAACATCAGGATCCAAACAATGCTAGGTCCGCCAACCATCGTTGCATCTCAGTGCCTTGTGGCACTCGAGCTGCAGAGGTAAAGCTTGCTGGACTGCTATTCTTGTCGTAGGGGTGCGAGCACGTAAGTGAACAGACGCAGCTTGGCAGTCAGTGTAGGCCTGACTTGCCATTTGCGCTGCAAAACGAAGTAGATTGATTGTATACCAGCCAACTATCTACCCAGTACTGATCCTGACCTTTGCCAATCGCTCTTCAACCCGTCGAACAATTTCGGGGTCTGGTTTCGGTTTGTCTCGGCGGGGTCTGTGATGTATTAGTAACTGCGTGGGCCACCTTAGCAGATGTATGACTTACGGATCTCGTATTGTTTCAGGTCCCTTCTCTTGCCCGCAACCGGAGCAATTCCTCTCTCCCGATCGGTACAATGTCGAACACTTGTGGCATGTATAGCGTACTCGCTGCCGCGCCTTCTTCCACGTCCGTGCAGGAGGTTCTGCGGGAGCATCGACATCTCCAGGATAGCCATGCGGGTATTTGCCGAGTTTAGGTCTGAGTTCATTAGTACAGACGCCTTCAACAAATGCAATTGGTCTGGGGTGGACGCACGGGTCGCGAGGGCACATTGTGCACCGAATATGCTGGCAAGTACTGCATTCCGTAGCATCCGGAGCGAATACAGTGCTACACTGATGACAAGTACGGCGGACTCGTTGTCGGGTCGGGTGGTGGATGACATCCTGGCCGCCGGTGCGCGAAGGTAGCGTAAGAGGAGGTTGCTTGGGTTTGTGCTGCACAGGGACAGTTTTGTGCAGTTTCTGCGCGACAATGGCCTGGAGTGCAGCTTGGGTGTCGTCCCGGTGGTCGTTGGTCTTGGTGGACGGGTGGTGAGGGCAGCTCTTGCAGCGGACGTGCTGGCAGTTGACACAAACTTTGTTCGGGCCAAAGGTGGTCTGGCAGCGATGGCAGGTACGGCGGACTCGCATCCGGATGGGTCTGACAACACGCTGCACGGTCGTATCGCTAGGGGACCTCCATTCTCCAGGCTCCAGGGTCAATCCGTATTTCGCAAATAGAGCCCGTGCCTTCTCTTCTTGAATGGCGCCCCAGTTGGTGAAAACAGTCGCATCGGGTGTAGCTTTGACGGTAGGAGCCTGCGGGATACGTTGAGGACTGTAATGCAAGTCAGTGCCACAAAGTAACTCAGAATTACTCGGCGATGAACATACGCGGGAGCTTGGCTTGGCTCGGGCTCTCTTGATTTCTGCATGACGGGCGAGGTGGTCCGGACAGTCGAGCTCCTCCTCAAAGCCATCTTCATGCGCTTAACATATTTGGACAAGCCATCGTGCTTGCCTTCATTGGAAGGGTTGGGGTCCTGTTGAGTCGACATTTCTCCGGTAATATAGTCGATCTTTATTATTGCTTGCCGGTCGTATTTAAATCAGATCATGTGTGGCGTCGCACGACATCGACAAGGCGGGTGACGGTTTTGGCGGTGTCGGAAAAGGTCGAACAGTGTAAAGACACTTTTGGTGTGGGCGCGATTAATTCATACCAGCTGGAATCGGAAGGGATGGTGTTGAGTAATTATGGCGGTGATGGTGGAATTCTGGGAAGCAAAAGCGCCGAAGAGCGACTACCCAGATTGGGGGGGGGTAACGACAAAGTGGGTGGAATAAGGTGGGAAACGAGGGAGCCACCGGTTAAGTATGGCAGGTCGCACGGGCGTGTACCGTAACCGTAGGCTTGGGACAACCCGACAAGACGGTGAGATGGGTGAGAAAACCCAACAGGAAGGGTCGCAGGGAATTGGAACAGCCTGGGGGCAAATCCAACGGGTGATTGGCTGGAAGGGCGGTCAGATCCTGTGGACCGGGCGTGGATGAGATGTCCGATGTAAAGTATAAGGTGTGTAAAGTATGTAGGGGAAGGGGAGGTGACGTTGTGAAAGGATGGGTTGCAGTGGTTGCAGTGGAGAGGTGGTGGATTTGCACGCTGGGAGCGGAACAAAAGTCACCGGCCAAGATGGTGGAAAACTGAAGATTCACGACTGACTGACGACGGGGAGGAGAGGAAGATAAAAAGAAGGCAACGACCAGCGCGAGCCGAACGTCAAATAGAAGCCGAACAGACTTTCTGGGGGAACCGGACGAGCGAGAGGGGGGTGGGTAAGGAAGTTGTATGTAAAGTAACAGTCAGTAAGTAAAAGTATGAGTGGCAGGCGCCTAAAGTAGTAACAAAGTATGGCACATGGCTTCTCACCCGACACTCTTTTCTATACCGTTGTGGTTATTTTCAGTTTATTTTAATTTCCCTCTGCTCTCTTTAATTTTTATTCTCTTATTTTACATTTATTTTCCTTCTTTTCCCCTACTTGCATTGATATGCACCTTCTAGATTCACCTCTGCTTTATTAAGGACACCAACGGACCAAACATTGACATGAACCGGAGCCTCTACTAACAAAGTCAAAACTATGGATTAATTCCCCCCCCCCCCACCCACTTATAGCCACCCAGTCTATTCTCACTAGAAAGACTCCATACCCAGCTCCTATCGAAAATCGACTGTCTGTTCTCCGTGAAGAAACCAACGATCAATTACCATGGCAGGAAGCAGCACGATCCGAGCGGGAAACAAAGGAAGTAAAGTAAAAGAAGTAGCAGAAACGCTAGAATCAAGAATCAAGACCGATTAGGCAAAGCCGTGCGTCTCTGTTTTGCCGATAGGCCAATCTGGTCAGGAGCTGGTTGGTTGATATACGCCTCTACATCCTCATGCAGCATGATGACCAGCAACTAGCGGGCGAACCGATGCGACGGGGCGCTTTGGGGGGGGAGGGAAGATGGAGTCTAATGCCGTGGCACCCTACCCACTCTGGAACAATGCCCGAACCCACCGCGTCTCGCCCGCGGGTCTGAAGAAGGTCGCGCCGGAAGATGTGTTGTTGTTTTGTATTTTGCTGATCCGGAAATATTATCAGTTCGATGCTCCTGATCTTGAGTAATTTACAACAAATAGGAATGAATATGAACATGACATCCTTTCATATCCGCGTGGTCGGAATCGGATGCTGCTGCTCATGATGATGTCAGCTGGAAAAAGTGAGCGGTTACCAAACAGAACTACCGCGTATTTTCCGGGATATGCTTCAGACAACCAAAGCCCGTGTATTTTACAGTTTGTCACATAACCCCAACAGCCACGAAGCTGCAAGAAGACGATAGTGATGGGAATAATAGCAACGCTCTAAGTACAGAGTACATGGTGGTCAGTTCTTAACGGCCCAGGGCTACCAAAAACGTTTCTGTGCATGGACTGGAGAGGATGACAACTGATTTCCAGCAAATAGAGAAAGAAGCCTTTACGTAGATGGCGGTGCCGCCTAGATCAGACAACCTGCTGCAGGCAACATGATGAAATGAATCATTGGGGGATGCTTTTCCCTCAATTTCACGCCAGAATAGCGATGCACCGTTCAATCAGAAAGCCCCATGATGGAATACCTCCTGAGCTGAGACTCAACTCACTTCGACCGAAGATCCGGCCGAAGGATAGAAGAAGACTACTCAGGAGCAAGACCTACCAATTTATATTATATTAACTGTACCCGGGAACCGATTCCTAGTGAGAACTCTAAGGAATTGCAGTGTCATCATAGTGTCTGTCTCGACTGGTGTTGTTCACAAACGACTATCCCAACTTACTAATCCAACAATTCATGCATAAATTCTGGTGTGACAATAATTCTGGACATTCCCCTAGGATGGAAAATAAAGGACCAACTAACAGTTCTTCCCATTTTCTGGTTACCTTAACTACTACAAAATAAAACCCAATATTGTAGACATCTCTAACAGTCAAGTTATCTACTCACTCAATCACAACGAACTAACCCCCAAAGTAGGCTAAGTACTAAGTAAAGTCCTACCCGCCCGGAAATTCTAGACTCTCCTCCCTGACCACCAACTCATCACACAACGCTGAAACCATAGTGATTTAGTACATACATCTCCATACCGAGGTATCCCGACAGCCTGGTCTAGTTATTTACTCAATGTAAATACAGCATTCCATCCATACAGCTAGACCATGCATTGCATAATGCATGACACCACACCAGACCACACCACGATTCCTACCTTACCCTACCAAAGAAAATCAAAAAGAAAAAAGAAAATTAAATTAGGAACGGCAACGGCTTCATGCAGCTTGTCTTGTTCTGCTGCAGTGTAGGCGCCAACTCAACACGCTAGATAAGTACTTACTTACCTGCCATTCATTCCTTTGCAAGGTAATCAGCACCGACCCTGTAAGTATGTGTGTATGTGTATGTATGTATGTAATATACACAAGCGGAAAAGGTAGTAGCGCGATAAGAATTTGTCAGTAAGTAGTGAAGAATTAAAAACATGAAGCAACGGAAGAACTTTAACTTGCAGCTGAGAGCGCCTGACGGAGTAGATCGGAGAAATATGAACCTACCGGATTGCGTGAACTTGGAGGGTTGGGTTTGCTCCACTGGTTTGTGTTTTGTACAGTTACTCTACTTTACTTTTAAGTAGTTGGAGGGTGGGTAAAGTAAATAAGTAAGGATTATCTTTGTTGTTGTGGACACATGGTTCGATAGTGATGATAATGATGGTGGTGTTGTTGTTATGCTTATTGTTGGAACCGTGGTTCTGGTTTTGATACTCCTTGCTTTTGAGGGAGCTTTTGTTGTTGAGTCGGGAAAGCCGACCGGAGGTACTTCGTCGTAGCCAAGTGACAATTGAGTACTTAGATAGTAAGTAGATAAGTTATAAAGATAGCCGACCGTCAACTATCAACTTCGTACTCCTCTCTACTCAGCATCGTACCGAATATCCGGAAACCAAACAATAAAACATGGACCCCGGTGCCACACACCCGGGTACACTGGACTCGATCTATCAGACAATCAGCACTTCACTTCACAGTCAGCCAGCCAGCCAGCCAAACTACCTTACTTAGTAACCCGTAATCTGCAGGGCTGAAAATAATTAATTTATATTACTACAACAGAAACAAAAAAGAAGCAATCATACAGAATACCGCACCACACCACATACCCTCAGTAATCAATCAATCAGTCAGTAAGCTTCACACACAGCTGACCGACCACCAATCTCCGTCTGGGTCAGAAAAAGAGGGGAAAGGGAGAGGGGAAGGGGTAGTAGGAAAGGGGAAGAGCATGGGCCCAATCATAATTCAGTGTTTCTTTGTATGGTGCAGGCAGGCCGGGATATTCAGTCCCAGCGCCGCGGAGAGCACCGAACACAACTGAACTGGAACCTAAAGAATGTCGAGGGGGCTGTCAGAACTCCTGCCTTTAGTGGAATGGTGAGATGTTGGTGTAGTGGAGATCCACTGGGTGTGTGGGGGCCGGGTATGGAGCTAGTATTGATGGTGTTATTTATGTATGTTTGTATGTATGGGGTTTTACGAGGTAGCTATGTACTACCTGCCTAGTAGTACTAGTTAGCTTTGGAGAAGGGTAGATTGGGATGGAGGAGGTAGAAGACGTATGGAAGGTTCTATGCCCGGCTTCGATTGCTTGATTAATTAATTGATTGATTGATTGATTGGTCTTAGGTAAGTAGAGATACCTTTGTGTTAAGTATCTCGTGATCATATGTCTATGTTACATTGCATGCAATTATCATTTCTACTGGTGGTATCTGCTGCTACCTTGGTACTTGTAGTTCTACTACATCTCATTTAACCGGAAAAGATATCCCAACAATATGTTCAACCTATGATTATAGGAGTATAGGATGAGATATTTTCTTCATCCAACCAAGACACGCTCGATTTAACACCTACCTCCTAACCATTATACACCCCTCCCCCGATATCACCATCATCACCCATCAAGTGATAGAAATCAGTCAAAGACAACATCTACTCCGCATCCCCCCAAACAATCCCATACACTACAATAGAACATAGATACTACTACAGACAATCCCTAAGTAAAAAGTAGATAGATAGCCCCAACAAAACAAACCAAGTAAACAAAAAAAAAACAAAAAACAAGGTTCAAGGCGCATATTTGCCCGAGTGGATCCCCATCCAACCCAACCCAACCCAACCAGTTGGTTCAGTTTAAACTACTAACTTACTCCCAGGATAGAACATGTCAAACACTCAAATCTGGAAAAGGATTCCGGTCTCATGTTTGTGATTACTTCTATCTAGGTGGTTCTTCGCCATGTGTGTATGTGTATATCATGGTGAGGCGATTTTATCGATATTCATGCAAGGGATTATAAGAGTAGGTAATGACAAATCGTGTCGGGGAATTTGTGATTGCTTATGAATCATTTTGGGGTTTGTTTTGGGTTAGTAGAAATGCTTTATGCCTCGGTTTGGGTCTTAATGAGTACTGTGGTGTAGTGTTTAGTGGTTCGTGGAAGACTTCTCAGCTCCTATTGAGGTATCCGAATCTAACCTGATCATGTATACAATGCCAGCACTATAATTATAATGTAAACGCATAGGCGTCATGAATGACCAATATACAGGCCTCATACCCTACCACACGGTAGTATGCCCTAATCCGCGCTTTGTAGCTTCGACTCGATCGAGATAATATCATCCTCCTCATACACCTCAATCACCCGGTTAACCTCCGCCGTATTGCGCATCAACTCGACAGCGCCCGCATACATCATGCGCTGGTTCGGGTTGCAGTTCTCGGGGAGGTAGTAGAGCATGACGTAAGGAACCGTAGGACGGCCAGAAGCCTGATGCCAGAATCATACGTTAGGTCTATTTCACAAGTCTGGGTGATATAAGTGAAATACTCACCAAGGTCAGGGGATAGCTGAGGAGGATAAACCGAGGAGACGATTCCGGAAGCTCATCGGCTACATCCTCCATCTTGGAGTAAACCTCGCCATCTTCAGGTCGAATCTCCTGGGTCTTGTTGTCGATGATATCTGTCAACCTGTTGTCAACCACCCATTGTCCTATGATATCCGACGTGAGGCGAACAAGCTCGCGCGATAGCTGGACGGTTGTGCTCGTGATAGACACAGGATAGAAAGCGGGGCTATGGAGGAACGACAGGAGACGGGATCCTACAAATAATGGCCTGCGGATCCTTGGCGCGGGAGGTTCCCAAGCGGAACTTGCGAAGCTTTTCTTTGGTCTCGGGGGAGAAGGAGTATAGTCGTGATTCAGACTGCATGGAGAGAAGCTCAGGTTAGCAGGGAGGAAGAAGCGGGCACGCGATGCGGGGCAGTCCAACCACTAACCATGTTGTGAAAGGGTGATGCGACAGTAAGGCGGAAGCAGAAACAGGATATCGGAAGTGCGCTAGAAGCAAGAGGAGTAAAAATCGGTAAACCCCCAGACGGGATGTGAGCGGGGATGGACGGGGGGAGCTATCTGGTTGGGGATGAATTTGACCGAAGAGACGAAGGAGGAACAAGCAAGTGGTGGTTGCTCCGCGTTTTCGGCCCGGTGGGATGAAAGGCGCGGCACTTACTCCACCTCCTCCTCGCTCTCCTTCACTTCCCATTCAATAATTCTCCTCCCCGCCCGCGCTTGTTTGTTACTCCGCCATTCCTCTCCTCCTCCCTTCTCCCTCATGTTCAGTCGTCTCGGTCAAGTCGCCCGCCATCTCACTCGACCGTCACTTAACCTCTCTTCCACACCTACCTTCACCTCGCCCTCTCTGACCCCGCCCCTGCTTCGTACACCATCCCCCAAAATGACATCATCCGTCCTCCCGAAGAACAAGAGGACCATTCACACAGCGGCATGCCTGATCATTGGTGACGAGGTCCTTGGTGGAAAGGTAAGAAGCGAATGAGCTGTCTGCTGTTCAATTCTATCTTCCCTTAAGCATCGCGCATACCCACGTCCTTGGCTTGGACTGACGATTCCCGAACTGCCAGACTATCGACACCAACTCCGCCTTCTTCGCCAAGTTCTGCTTCTCCCTCGGCATCCAACTGAAGCGCATCGAAGTCATTGCCGACGATGAGAGCGAAATCATTGAGGCAGTGCGACGTATGAGCGACCGCTATGACTTCGTCGTCACCAGTGGAGGCATTGGTCCAACGTCCGTACACCCCCCACATCGATTTAATAAAACCCCCACGAATATGAATACTGCATATGGCTTGAAAAGCTGACTGGTATATGATGTGAACCGCAAAAGCCACGACGATATCACCTATGAATCGATAGCCAAGGCCTTTGGTCTGAACCTAAAGCTCCACCAAGCCGCCTTCGAGCGTATGAAGAAGCTCTCCAAGCCCCATCCCATGCAACCAAACTTCGATTGGGACACCCCCTCACCTAGTCTGACGGCGAAGCTGCGCATGGTCGAGATCCCTCACGACGAGTCTGTGCCTTTGGAGGAACAGGCTGTGTTTGTTGCGGATGACATGTGGGTGCCCATTGCTATCGTCAACGGCAACGTCCATATCCTTCCTGGTGTTCCTCGTCTCTTCGAAAGGCTGCTCGAACACCTGAAGCCGAACCTGTTGCCTCGCTTAGTCAATCCGGAGGGAAAGGGCATCTATCGCTACCTGTTTAGCACACCACTCCCGGAGAGTACGGTCGCTCCCTACCTGACGGAACTCGCTACTCGTGTTGCTTCGAAGAACATCAAAGTTGGCAGTTACCCCCGGTGGGGTAATAAGCGCAACACTGTGACTCTGGTCGGCACTGACAAGGAGTTCATGGACTCGCTTATCGCAGAGGTGGAGCAGAATGTCGAGGGAACCAAGGTAACTCGAGAGGATGAGCTTGACCCTCCCTCGGACGCTGAGGAGGGCAAATAAGTGGAACTTTGGCGGTCATAGCATGCCTTTGTGCAGGCAATAGTAGCTAGATTTGTAGACAATGACACGCTATTCCGGATATGCATGATAGCAGTGGGTGAGTGGGTGTATGGACGTTAGGATTCATGAACCTGTGTAGATGCGTTATCTTCGACAGTATCCATCCACATCTGCCATTAGGAACGCGTGCTGTTCAAACAACGTACCACTCACCACTCAGATGTTTTTGTTAAGGTTAGAAGACCAGCCACTGAATCTCCAAGACATCACTAAGTAACCCACTATAAGATACTAACCACAGAGGAAGTGAAGAATGAAGGCTTATTCTCGGAGACCAAAATTTCAGAATCAAATAAGATTACCCAATAGTTCAAGTGTATACATGAAGGAAGAAAACCAGACAGACTAAGATAGAGATGCTTATGGCGCGCCGCTGCTGAGTGCAGAATAGGGGAAACAAAACCGGAGACAGACCAAAATGAAAGAGGGGAAGAGGGAAGAAGGGGAGACGGGCAGAGACGTTAGGTGGCACAATGATATCGCAACGTCTAAACACCTGACAGACGGAAGTATCAACGTGCAGTCCATCTCGCCGAAAAAGGTTCAGCAGGTGAGATCCTGCCCGACAGAGTGCAAAGTTGGTAAATGAAAGAAAGGACCAAGCGTATCCCGGATGCATATAGGAAAAGAGATCAATGAAGATGAAAGTAAAGACAGATAGTTAAGATGATCAGCGGCTGCTGAATGTGCAAAAGATCTGAATTGCTCGTCCAGCGTGGCCGACAAGACGAAAAGGAAGGATGATTCTGCAGCTCCGGATAGTACCACATATGCGGACCGCGACAATAGCGTACCTATATTAATGCACAGATCTATTGACAGGCTCCGTTCTCGTCCTTTCAAAGATCGAGAAATCGTCAAAGAAAAATCAATCTTCCAAAAAGAGGTAATAATAATAATAAACAAAATAGAGGAACAAAGGGGGAATCGAACGTTCATGGAGACGATGGCGGCATTAGGGTGTGAGAGCAGACATCATCTGAGAGTGAGGCTCGTATGGTATAATGATCACAAAATCAAAACGCGTTGACAAGCCACATGTTGCAGCAAGGCAAGTGGCCCGTCTCTGTTGCTGACCTCTCTTTCCAACCGGGGGTGACTGTATGTGTTTTTGCTTTCCTTCCGTATCTCGATCTGTATGTATTTCTTTTAGATCCAACGCCTGTCCCATTACATAATTATACATTTTCCACAGCAGCCAGCGTCATCGCCGGGCTCGCTGACGTCCATTTTTCCTTCCGGGGCGCGTGAACCGCCACCCGCGCCAGACGGGTACGATGACATCTCTTTGTTAAACCGACGAATCTCGCGCACCAGGTCGTAGAAGGCGTTCTCAACGTTGATACGGGACTTGGCGGACGTCTCGATGAACTTGCAGCCAAACTGCCGTGCTAGAGCCTCACCCTCTGTAGAGATAAAATCGTCAGCCAAAACCTCCCGCGACAAGCAGATGCTAGGCCGGAGAACCCACCTTCTTCAGAAACAGCCCTCTCCTTTTCCAAATCGCACTTGTTGCCGACCACGATGATGGGGAAGTAGTCCTTATCCTTGACTCGCAGGATCTGTTGTTGGAAAGTCATAATTTCCTCGAATGATTGGCGCGACGTTATCGAGTAGACGAGAAGGAAACCTTCGCCGGTTCGCATGTACTGTTCACGCATCGCCGAGTATTCTTCCTGTCCGGCAGTATCTAGAACGTCCAACAATGCCACCTCCTCATCGATGACGCACTGCTTGCGGTAGGAATCTGTTCAAACACGAATCGAAAGATAAGCCACACGGTCGGAAAGGTACAGCAGAGCTCAGCGCCCACCTTCAATTGTCGGGTCATATTCATCCACAAAGTGGCTCTGGATCAATTGGATGGTCAAGCATGACTTTCCGACACCACCACCACCGACGACGACGAGTTTGTATTCTCTTAAAAACTATATGCGACCGAGAGGTGAGCGATTCGTCATGTTTCCGGGAGGGGGGCGAGGGAGTTCGGAGATCATGTAGAGAAAGTGAAGGTCGGGAAGGGAGGTGACAGGAGGCACATGGAAGCTAATGACGGAAAGTGGAAAGCGCAGCGACAAGGCTTACCTTTGAAGCCATTCTGGTAGGTTCTGGCTTGGTATTATGCTGTGAGGGAGGAAAGGGAAAGAGGGGGAGAGAAAGAGAAGCGGTTAATCGAAGCTATCCCAACAGGAGCTGTGACAGCGGGTCGAAGGAGCAGCAACACAAATTTCTTTTGCAGAAAGAGACAAGACGAACAAGAGTCGGGGCCCAGGTCGTCGGGGGTTTCGCGCAAAGCAAAGGCGCCTAAAGGGCAGTCCACAGCAACGGCGGGTCTAATTGATTAGGCCAAGCTTAAAGCAGCAGACTGGGGGGTAGTAGTAGAAGCAGAAGTGCGTGTGGGAAGCAGGATCCAGGGGGGGGGTCGTGGAACTTTGCAGGCAGGCGGGAGTTGAAAGGCGAACCGGCAGGGTTTCTGCGTAGTCTGCAGTTCGTCTTGACCCAATTCGTTCTAAGCGACCAGGGAATATGGAACAAGTCAAAGGGAACTACTTAGAACACCTTCGAGAATCAGGGTGGATTCAAGGAGGAGAAGAAGAAGAAAGAATAAAAAAAAGAAAGTAAAAAGAAAAAGAGGGAAAAGGGAAAGAGAATGGGGTGGAGAGACTTGGGGAGGGGAAAGGGGAGAGAGGGAGACACAGAGAGAGAGGATGATGATTAAGGAGAGTTAAGCCAACTGAGGAACGGAGGTGGGGATAGGCAGAGCAGCCCAGAAAGGAGGGAAGAGTCTAGATAGTCAACTACTGAATACTAACTAATTAGTGGTGGACAGACAGACAGTCCAGTACTAAGTAAGTAGTAAGTACTTAGTAGTATGATTGGAGAGGAATTTCTTCCCAGAGAACACAAGCCAAAGTCACAAAATGAAATATGTAAATAATAATTATTAACCGCGGGATAAGCGCCTTGATTGGTGTGGAACAACCCCTACCGACGCAGTGAAAAGAGCGCACTTCCATGGAGAAATTGATATGATGCGGCTGCTGATTGGAAGGAAGGGGATTTCGAAGGTTCGCCAGAATTAATCTTACCATAATCACTAATGATATGATAATCCTCCTAGTGCAGGAGTCGGTTAAGTACAAAGGTCCTAGTCTTATCTGACTACTGCTGGTCTTAAAACAACAATTTGCCTCCGGTTAGTGGACAATAAATATGAGTACTGAATTGAAAGGGGGGGGGAAGGAAGGGAAGGGGAGAGACAGAGAGAGAGAAAGAGAGGAAGAGAAAGAGATGAGCAAGTGGGTGTGGCATTAACCGGCAACGCGTGTGGATTCCCACCAATCCAGCCAACTGTTTAATTTCACTGGTCCCGGTTGGGCCCACCCGCCGATAATTAACCTCAATCGTCCGATCGCAAGATATGAAATGAACCTGAACAGCCAGCAGTCAGTCAGTCAGAAGTAGTAGATTCCCCAGACAGACAGACGGCCTAGTAATTAAAATGGTTCTGTCAATCCTAGTACTACTTATCTTCACTGCAGTCCGATCATCCTTGATAGGCTACTGCAACGGTATTGGAACAAAAATGAGTCAGTCAGTCAGTGGGTGGGAGGAGGAGGGAGGAAAATGGTTGCATAGTGAGGTAGCCTGAAAAAAGGGGCCGGGGATCGAATTTCCAGGGCACACCCAAGATTAATGATCCATTGGGTCTAGTCTCTCGCTGTCCCTCTCTTCCTCTCTCTCTCTCTCTCTCTCTCTCTCCCTCTTTCTCTCTTACTGCCAATACCCGTAAGCATTTGGTGGTTAATGGTTAAATAATACGAAGAAAAATAAATTAGTTCCCTAGTACTATCCAGTTACTATCTGGTTCACTTACTTAGTATAATATAATGGATTTCATTTCGTATTGATGATCTGACCCAGCAGATACATACCACCACCACCACTGCAGCACTCAATAAATGGTGACTTTATTTATTAGCCTGGCACAAAACAATATAATCCCCGACTCTACTAGCAGTTATTATGCAACTTGATTCGACTCCATGACTTGTGAGACCATTCCATTCATCATACTATCTATCTCTCTCCCAGATTAATCTTCACCAAGATCCACCCACTTTTTTTTAGCGCCGGTCGTTAATGCTTCTAAATCGTCCAATGTGTCTCCATCCCAACTTTTTCCCCCCTGAGGGTCCTTTTTCCCCCCCTGCTCACCTTACGCAACACAGTAAACGAACGAATAGCTTCCGGACTCCAAGCCAATCACCGTGAATCCTACTGGGTGGATGCGCTCCTCTCTTGACTCTGCGTCCCGCTCCGGTTCCTTGAACAAGTGAACTCCTTCGGTCCCAAGGGTGCAGTCTTACTTACGCAAGCACGGTAAGAAGATGCAATAAAACGAACACCCATTGCTAATAAGTTTCCCGTCCGACTCAGTCAAAACTCGGAACGATCCATTGAACTAAAGGCCCTGGCCGTTACGATTTAATAGAAAAAAACGGGGGCGGATTTCCCGAGAGGAAGTTCTACTGGATGTGAGTTCTTACTGTGGGCGCGTGGAGAGGAAAAGAAAAAAAGAGGGTAAATGTGTGAGAGAGAGACAGCATTCATCCGAGAGGTTCTTGTCCTTTCCCGGCAACCGTTTTCCTTCTAGAAGGGTAGAAACCCATTCTCAGCCTTAACAGATGCTACATGACAGCTCCGATTTGACACACCGAATTACATCATGATTCGAAATATTGAGTCTGGGTTTGGCTTCGGTTTGGCTTCGACAGCGTCATGGAATTGTGTCCCTGAGGGGGGGGGAAGGGAACCCGAGTCCAATGGAGGGAGTCGTGCTCGACTAGTCCAGAAGAAGCCTAAAATAGCCCCAGAGGCCGAGTTCAGGATGTTCTCCACGCCTCCACTTTTGCCAAAGGTGATATATTGGTCTGTGAGACCGTCCGATCCCATAGCCCAAGTTGCTGCTCAATCAACCATTGGCGAATGAGGCGGCGACATCGATACAACTCCTTGCTCCTCCTTCGGTGATGAGCGGAGTAAATCCCGGATGATACCCTCGAGTTGTCAAAAGATGACGTCCCGCAAATTTTAACCCCGGAAGTTACTGAACACATTTTTGCATCCTTGCATCCCAGCTGCAGCTGGGGAGATTTTGCCTTGCTCCCGTAATACCACCACTACTTCCTGCAGTGTCGTGCGTTGATCCTTTCCCACCACATGCGCTTCTCATTGAGTATCTCTCCAGGGTCGTCTTATCTTCTGTTTCTGCTACTACCACCCTGGAGTGAACTAAACCCACCCGTGTTCCCGAGCCATGGCACCCAAGCCACCTACACAAGTCACATTGCCTGATTTTGAGCACAACTGCTGATCACGGAAATCTCTTCCATTCTACCGACTCATCACATTGACAGAGCCATGGGCTTGATTTGGAGGCTACCCAAGTCTGGGTAACCGACCGCTTCAGGGCGAACAAAGATACGGCAGCGTCCCTGCGCCATACCTGCGGGGTCGTCCGGGCATGCGACCGAGATCGGTACCTGTCACCTAACTCGACTATCGTACCAGTCATACTCCAGACCTCAATCCATGTGCCTGGATGCCCAAATCATGATCAAACATTCTCCTGCAGCAACTACCAGCCCAGCAGAGCACTAATTTAGCTGCGAAGATACCCTAACCGAAGCACATCTCCACCGCCCTCCGATGTGCGGTCTGCGTGTGCGTGCTTGCTTTATCTTCGAGCAACAAGATGGCCAGACCGAAACTTCAATGACTAGACAGCCATCAAACACGTCCATGACGTGGCCACACAAGAAACGGCATGCAGCATCAAGCCCATCACATTGAGACTTGCAGTAGGCAGTGTACCTAGGCCACACCCAGTTCAACTACCTGAGTGGGGTCAGTCACTTCAGTCAATCTTCTCTCTCCCCTCTGTGACACATCCAACGCCTCCAACTATGTTGTCAAACGTCAACAATAACTTTGTTCCATGACTGGGCGCATATCAGAATGATCTGCGGGGTACCAAGACCCAGATAGGCGTCGCTTAATCCATCACAACTGACTTTTGGCTGACACAAAAACCCTGAGCCACAAAGGGGTCATAGCTAAATACTGCCTGCCCCCTTTTCGGATCTCGGATATATACTACCTACCTTTGTCTATATTGGCATCTACAAGTAAGTACAGTAACAGTATTTAGGAGTTGGCACATTCCAAATCAGCAGCCATTTATCGTAAGAAAGACCAAACCAATTATCATGTTTGAATTTCAAATCATAGATAATTCTTCTTTCGTCCCTTTCGGCCCCCAATTGATAATATGCAGGGGTATTGTAGATAGTCTACTTAAAGCTTGGGGGCCGGCCGGGGGTCTCCGCCTTGCCCTCTGTCTATCTCCTGAAGAAACTTCAGTTGGAGAGGAAAGGATCACGATATTTCCAAACTAGCGATTGGCTGCATATTGTAGCTTTCTCTTTATACTTCAATGCTGTCCCCTATACCAACCAGTATAGGTCGGCCTCATCAATAAAAGGAGCCAAGTGAAGCTTACTTATTATTTCCTCCAGGGAGAGTACTACAGTACACAGCTACCCCGATATATGTTCATGTTCATTGTATTGATTGAATGTCTCGCTACGTACATGCCCGATTAGACTTCCTTATCTTGCTTTTTGGTTTTTTTTTTTTCAGAATAGACCTTCTGGGACTTCTCTTCTCTTCTCTCCTCAAAATAGAAAAATTGAAAAGGAAACATGTTATGAAGATTTTTTGTTAAAGTGAAGTAAAAGAAATAAAGAAATTCGTAGTGAGACGTCATCATATCGTATCGTCCATGGGTACTTAATATTGCCCCAGTAAGATGGAAGAGTATCCAGGATAAAGTGACCAGCAACATCAGATTCCATGGTCTAAACCCAAGGTGAAAATCACAGTCAGCATGGAAATCCCGAATGCAACAAGAAAAGAACCGGTTCTTCAGCCGGCTCCCAAGTCTGAGTGGTAGTGAAGGTATCGTAAAACACAACGTCCCCTTGTTCCCAGGTATGCCAATAACAAACCTTACGATCATAGAGAAGAGGGTTCAGGACATTGCATAGTCTGTTTGAGTCGGCGTCTGAAATACCCTTTATGGCGTAGGTGGGTTCCGAGGTGATGTTGCTTTGAGAGAGGAGTGGGTGGTAATGGAAGCAGGGCCGGCCATGCGAGAAGTGAGGTGTGATCAAGGGCAGACTGTTAGTCTTAGTCTTGGTGTTGGTGGATGAGCTCGAGCTCGATGTCTTCCAAGAGAACTGTTGGAGCATCTCGACGGTGTAGCTTGCTGGGAGGTGAGAGAAGAACAGAGATGAAGCGGAGAAGAGACTACGTCGGGTTTTCTCTGAGATGGGGACAGTGGCGGTGATCATTTCATACCTAAATTGGGAGGGGGGTTTATGTGAGTGAGAAGTAATGACGGTTTGAGAGAGAGGAAGGAGGGCTTACTTGGATGGAGACGAAATTGAAGACTGCTTCGTGTTGTTGGCGTCTTTATCCTTCGTGGTTTCAGCTGCCCCATCGAAGGGCACCCAACCTACCCGGATAAGCTCTTCTAGCTCCTGTGGATCACTGTCTTCGGCTTCTTCTTCTATATCGAAGTCGGATGCCGAAAGGTGAGAAGCGTTCATACTCTCGGCTTTCTTCACGATCAGCTCGTGGTCATGAGTGTCTGTGAATCCGCGGAGGACGACAGGTGAGTTCTCGTGTGCTAGAGCCTGCACTTTCTCCTTGTCGATTTCGCTAATTGAGGTTGGATTGACAGGAGTAATCATCATGCCGCAGGGATAGATGGGGTCGACTGTCACCGGCGATGACCAGTTGTACAGCTCAGATTTAAACCGGTAGCACCATGGACGTCCGTTCTTGTGAACCAACTCCAGTTCTGGGTCCGCGTCGAAGATTTCGCGCCATCCACACATGAAGCCGCCGTCAACAGTATGGCAAAGTGCTGAATGCCATGGTGTGACTGGCGTTGGAGTTCTCGGGAGAACGTTTATGGATATCTTGGTTAATCCATTTGAGGGATGGATTGAAAGACGAATGTAACCTGGGAAGTTCTTTAGAATGGCTTCTGCGAATGCCTACAGTGAAACCACACATGTTAGTGACAGTCACTACGGTGCATGCTTGGTTAGCGCTAGAGGTCTGGGTGAATTATTCCACTCACCGCGCCTCGTTCGATCATGGATTTAGCGACATCTCCCAGATGTTTTTTATGCGACTTGCGAGATTTGGTACCATCGTCTACATGAAGATGTTCCAAGTCTTTTGTCAAGAATTTGATGTATCCTCGGTACGTGGTACAGATGTTTTCATCGGACTTGATCTTAACAGCGGCGTCAAATCCCTCCGGCTTGTACCTTTTTATCAGCTCCTGGCGAAACTCTGGAGCCAATTTCTCGTATGTCTCGCCATCAAGGCTGACGTCCTCATGAATGTGAACAAGGTCGCGCAGTCTGGCGAACTCGATATGGTCGTACTTATTCTCAGCAACCATTTCTCTCAGTGCATGGCTATACTCCCAGACGTCTCTGTCGGACACGCCCAAGATATCTATCAACAGTCAGTCCCTATCTTGGCATACAAGATCATGAGTATTGTCTTCTCGACTTACCGTTATAAACGAGACCATCAGACACGATGGTGAGCTTGGCTCCATATTCATAGACATCACCAATAGCAGCGCAGAGTCCGTTAAGGTGCGCGAGAGAAATCTCTTCGCCTTTATCAGGAAGGCTTCCCAAGACCTTATTCTCCCGGTTCGGAGATTTGAAGGGGAAAGCCGGTAAGATCATTCGAATCGGCTGTTTGTCGCGTATCTGATTACACATCTTGGATAGAAACATGATGTTTCCATCGCTGGTGTGGTCTCTTGCCGTTGCTGGCACCACGCTACGATACCGACCGATGACTTCCATGACTTTGAAGGCCTTGAGCAGTGGATCATCATCGTACTTGTCTTCTGAGGCTTGTGGGTCGATGGTGGACTTGTCCAACTCCATATGGAAGATGCCTTGGTCCTTATTGAAAGGGTCTGCCTCCATATGGAGGGTATATGATCCCATATGAGGATGGTCTGACTCCACAGGCAAGGTGTTTGACTCCATAGGATTGACATCTGACTCCATAGGGAGACCGTCTGACACCATAGGGGAAGGGTCTGGTTCCATAGGGATGGCATCCGCGTCCACAGGAAGCACCTCTGACTCCGTATGCATGGTATCTGATTTCATGAGGAACATATCCGTCCCCAAAGAGACGATATCTGATCCGAGTTTGGGTGTGTCATCCATATTGGCGCAGTTGAGATACAGGTATGGGCAGGTGTGTTGTGTGCATCTCAGAAGAATGAGACGTGAACCAGTACACGTCCAGATAACACGGTGTGAGACTGCACTTCACTGGCGACACGACGACTAAGCGACGCAAACTCATGTTCGACTCTGGCTTGAGCTCGGCGTGAACCGTTCAGGGCTCAGGGACCGTGATGTCAATCACGGAAATCAACATTGCTCGGTGCCGGATGCAGTAATGCATGTACCCGCCGGAACCAGATGATGATAGCCCCATTCGTGTACCCTCATCATCCACTATCATTTTCAGGGTGACAAGGTGGGTGCAATGCTTTGCTGGCATTATCTACAGAATGTCTATAATCAGTCCAGGCACAACGACTCAAGATGTCATAAGGATGATGAGAACAAGAGAGAGATTGGGTTGAGTAGTAGTACTCTACCCAAGAAAATTTATATACAATTAGCCGGCAGGGATAATGCAGATCGATTGTCCCCTCGGGTCGCGAAAATGTCACCGTTGCATCGGCACCAAATCAAGAGATTTAATGGTAGATTGGGAGTGCGGTTATATATACCGGGTCGTAGATCCACTTGGCGAGATGGCAAAATTCTAATTATGAACATTTCGCGAACCAAAACTGCTGGACGTCCATGAAATAAGCAAAGGTATTGAAAAGATATATTACATTAACGTATAGCCCATGGTACCTGATATATTCGGCCATGGCGGACTCGGTAGCAGGCGTCGTTCCCTTCACACAGTGGAGTCAATGCAATACGGCTACTTAGATCCAGATATGTACTCTCATCATGTAATATCATTTGACCATATTATCTAGATCTACCCAAACCAAGCCAATTCTAATGTCGCTGCACAACGAGTGCTTCTACAAGCCCACAAATCAGATATGCGTATACACTAAGCCTTGCGGTGCATGGAAGTCGGCGATGCCTAAGAGACGATGTCATCAGCTATACTGTTAATGTTTGTATGCGAGATCGACTTACTTGGTGGCTAGGGAAGATCAACGTATCCGCAATCACAACATTCTCGCGCCGACCGGCGGCAAATACAACCACCTCAGCAATGTCGTCGGGTGTAAGTGGCTCGCAGCCGCTGTAGTACCCATTGTTGTCAGTATATGTCCATGTGCCTTCAGTCTGCTGAGAGTAAATCTAGAAGGGGTCCTCACGCATAAACTGCATCTGCCTTGGCCTTGTCACCGTAGAATCGTACAACAGAGAATTCCTATTGAAGAACATGCATTAGATAAGGCCATGCGATTCACATAAGCGAAAACTTACAGTCTCAACCTGGCCAGGATCAATCTCAATGATACGGATTCTCGTGGCAATGAGTTCCTTCCTCAGAGCATCGGTGAAAGACCTGATAGCCGCCTTCGTGGCGCAGTAGATGCTACCACCAGGGTATGCCTCACGGCCAGCGATACTGCCAATGTTGATGATATCTCCTCGACCACCATCAGCCCTCTTCTTGAAGATGGGAAGGATGGCCTGAGTCATGTTGATCAGTCCGGTAACGTTGGTCGAGAACATGATGTTGATGTCTTCAGCTTCAATTTCTGGGGCCTTAGCAACACCCTTAACGAGGCCTCTGTATTCTTCTTAGTATGGACTTGGGATTGTCAATGGAATAAAGTTGTGACTCACGCATTGTTGACCAAGACATCAATCTCCTTAAACTCCTCGGGCAGAGAAGGCACGAATTTCTTGATATCTTCCGGGTTGCTCACATCCAGCTGCACCGGCAGCACCTTCACACCCTCACCGACTTCCTCCTTGATCTCCTTGGCCAGCTCCTGCAGAGACTCGATCCGTCTAGCAGTCACGATGATCTTCAAGTCCTTGGGAGAAGTGCGAGCGAATTCCTTGGCAGTGCTTCGTCCAATACCGGAAGAAGCACCAGTGACGAGGATGGTCTTGCCTTCAAGACGCTTTGCCATTGCTGTCGCCATTGTGCGTTTGATGAATGCTGGCCTGATCGCAGCACGAAACGGAAGTGGGGTGGATGCGGAGAATGTCCCGGATGAAGGGGAGAGCTGTCGCAGGGATCTGATAGTGCTGTGACACGCTTGTAAAAGCCGCATAAAGAGCCTTTCAGCTGGCGTTGGTAACGGTTAAGTTAAGGAGAAAAGGTTTCAAATCGGACGAGAAGACAGGGGCTATTGGTGGTTTCTTATGAATCACAGGCCGAAGGTCGGGATGGCGTGCGGGGATCCGGCGAGGCCATTTCGTGCTCGGGCGGGGGGCCTGGCCTCGGCTGATGGTTATGCCGGTCGGACTGGCTTCCGATGGCTGCTTTACATTCTTCCAGCTTCTGTTTCTCCCCCAACTTTACGTCTGCTGGGATGAATAGCTCATTGGCGATGATCTCACCCCTTTATTCGACACAAAGCACTACCAGCCACCCAAGTACACTGTTGAACCTTTTATCAACACGAATACCTTGACTTGACCCTCCAAAATTCGTCAATATATGTCTCTTGAAAAGTTGACTCACCCATTGAGCGAACTCGCTCGTTTTGCGATTGCCGGAAACACCACGGGAAAACAAATCATTGAGAGACAATTTTCAAGCCATTAGCAGAGGATGTCATGCATTTGATAAAACAGAGTTTTCTTCATCCAAGCATGCCATCTTGTATGGTTGACTAGGCCCGACGAAAGCATTAACCATCCGGACGCATGCAAGATTCGAACTGACACTGCTGATAGACCACGGCTCACGATCTTCACAGAACAATCTTTCTTACCTATCACATATATTTTTCCTTCTGTTATTGGCGCCAGTGTGGGAATGTCCGTGAATGGCAGATACCCTCATACGACACGGACGGATCGTTTCAGTTGGCGATAGCTTAGAAACGAGAAATTTTCGAAGAAAGAAAAATTAAATCCATTTTCCACAGCGTTCCTGATGATGAATCTGGCAGTTCATGTCACGATGATGGGGAAGACAGTTCATTCGCGATCTTGACCTCTTAGTGGCCTTGACCTCTTAGCGACCTTGACCTTTTAGCGATCTGATGACCACGAGATAGTCTTATGGCCTGCACAATGAGCGGCCACGAAACCAAAATCCCCGAAGAGCGGGCTTTGCTTTTCAGAACGCAGAACACGCCAAGGCTTCCATGCATTTCTAGGTAAATAGCTGTGCATAACTATGCAGAACTAGCCTATTGGGCTGGATCAAGACTTATGCTACCTGTCTGCAAAAACTAACTTCCAAGACAAAATCGGACATAATTACCTGTTGGGTTTGTTGGACACGGAGTTATTACATTAACTTCAATAAAGATGACGCCAGAAGGCACAAAGCCACGGGTCCGTGAGGAAAGCTACCTATTCGCCTTGACAATGGCGACATGAAAGGATCAGTGCGAGGCGACAGCTATAAAAAGCCACTGGGCATATGATAAAGAAGATCTTCCTTCAGATACTTTGATGTGCGAGTTTCCAGTATTGGTCTGGTGCTGGCGATCGTTTGTTACCGAGCGTGCTAGCAAAGAGCTCAAGAGTTCAGGCCGCGTTCGTACAGTCCATCCAGTGCATCCACTATGATGAAAGACAAGACAGCCTAGTTTGAACGAACCACGGACTTTAGGGATCTGCAAACTCCAAGCGAAGAGATCGTCATCCCGGTTTTCAACCTTAAGATCATGTGCTCGGGCACGATAGGCACGCTCTCTGGTTGTAGCGCGTGAATGAGGTGCCGGGCACTATGAATGCTCATAACGTTGACACCTCAATATTTGTGAATTTCACATCAGAAGGACTGAACTGACATAGTATCTACTAAGCCACGTTTTAGTACGAAGAATAGGAATAACGAGGTTATGAGATAACAGAATTTGTGAGCATACAGTAGCGAATCACGGTACCAAGCCAGCAAGTCTAAAGCCCGAAAACCGAAGTCAATTAGTGGAGTGTATTCCTTTTTCGGCGAATGGCCGGCGCTCCGAGGGGCGTTGATTGCGGGATTCGGAACTCATGGTGGTTAAGAGGTTAACGCCAGGTAATCAGGTCCGACGTGGTAAGTAGTCTTCGGAATCCTCAGCCCTATTGGAGGAATCGCAATTTGTAAACAAAAATGTCTATCGGAGATTAAGGTTGGGGTCGAAGAATCAAGGAATTTTGGACTATTCTTCAGCCATGTATGTAGACTTTGAGCCCGGAAGTGATTCCGATGCTCGTGCAGTGTTTGACAAAAGTCCTGAGGCCATGACTTGGACAGTCCGTCATCTGAAGAAGGTAACTATTGAAATGGTCTTAGTATCTCCTTGTCGAAGTACCTGGCAATTGCTTTGGAATTGGGGTTTGGGGGCAGTGGATCGTCAGGGATAGTGGCTGGTCACTCGCTCTTTGACCGCTTCGGTGCCTCCTTTCCCTTTTCCCTCTCCGGCCGACGATCATCGCTAGCTTTTGACACTCCTCCAGAGCCCCAGAGTCGAGACATCTGTGCCAATGAGAAAGGCCTCATGTTCCAGGAAAGTTCGACGGGCTATTTCCCTGGGCCAAAATGACATTATTGACATTTGACACAGGTCTATTCCACTGTTGACACCTCCCTCGTCCGTCGATCTTCGCACCTTTACTACAGCCTTCACTCCAAAGCATTGGATTTGCACGTCAGTTGCAACCTACCCCGTTGCACGTACCCCATGGTATCTATCGTGCAACTGAGAACTGCCCCTTTTGTGACACCTGGAACTTCGCATGGGATGGTGCCTTGAGAGGACCATAGTGGGGACTTATCCACACATTAGTTGGCACCAATGAACGAAACGCCACCACGCATAGGCTCAAAGACAAATACTCAGCTATTGAGACCAAGCTTCAGAGCCAAAAGGCATTTAGTCATCGGGTTGCATGGCAAGAAATTCAAATAGAACGTCGGGCAGCTTCCCCGAACTTCCGTAAAAGGTCTCTGCTGCGTTTCTGTTTACTATTCAATGGTGGCGCTCTACCAACTGGCTGGTAGTGGACATCCTTTGCCGCTTAGAGCTTACCCGGCGCAGCAATAGCGCCGCGCTATCCAGCCTCGTCCTCCCCATCCCCTTTGGACCTGCATGAGGGACCCATCGTCTATTGATGATCATAGCCACATTCTCGCAGCCGCACCGCTGAATTGGGATGAGAATTCTCAAGAGCCGTAAGACAATCGAACCCCGAGTCTTCCTTCGGGTTCCATTCCCCCGGAATCATGTATGTCATTTGAATTATCGAGCTATCGAGCCACGAGGAGCAACAATGGAAAGCACGCCCCTGTTCTATGCAGACTCGATGCGAGGGTTGTACAGCATTCTCCACATGCAAGCTCGGAGTCCACAGCTTTGATGCAGCCAAGCATGGCAACGGCTGCTGGCTTGCGACCTGGACTCGTATGGTCCCTGGAGGCACGAGTCATGCGAAACAAACAATATCTCCGCTCACAATACACGCTACCTTGTGGAAAAGTAGCTAATATCTTCTGCCTTTGTCTAGGCATCCGCGGTTTCAGTGTTTCTTCCATTTATGAAAAAGGTGGCACAGTATTTAGTGTCCAGGCAAATCATGCAATTTCAAATCCCAACCTGGTCAAACTTCGGCCATGGTGTGCTCTTTGAATTGATGTGATCGACGGTTACAGGTGAGAAAAACGGAAATAGAAGACTATGACTACTAGTAGTTGTCGCTTGCCGGCCAAGGTTGTGAGGAGACAGGGACCTGCGTGGACAATAGCACGAAGCGCGGACACGCTGCCTATCGAGCACTCGAGCCTACGTCAAAGACTTCCCCAAATATGCCGATCAATCACTGAGCAGATAGCGATCTATCGTTTTAGGAATTTTCCGACCAGTGATGAATGATAAGTAAGAAACCATGATTGCTGTTGTCCACGTTTGACCAGAACGGGTGAACGCAGAGGATAAATGTAAGAAACTGGCGAACGCTAAGAGAATATCTGCTCCACAGCGAAGCTGATTGTGCGAACTGTTGTTGACTTTCTTTACGACAGCCCACAATCTTAATATGCAAGTTTAGCTTTTATCGAGGCGCGAAACCTTGTTGGGGAGGAGCCATCCGGGGTCTTCCGCTAATCGGGGTCTGGTGATGGCCATCTTTTGCCCTGCTATGCATGCTCTTCATGTCCTTGTTGCCTTGGACGTACCCTGAATCAGTCAATTGCCAGTGTTAGCCAGAACCCAGGCTCCCAGAAAGGAACTAGTTCATGCAAGGCATTGGACTAGAGATCTCGTGTTTCTCCTCGCTTGGTGACCCACCGCCACGCTGAAGGGTAGATCATTTCTTATCCTGACCTATTCGCAGGGATAGAATGACATGGACGAGCGAATGAGTGCTCGAAATCGTGCCATACACGTTTTAGTCTGCCTAGTGCCAGAAGACTTCTATGCCGCTTCAGGATTGTGTGCCTCCACCGACACTATCCACACCAGCACGGTCGTGGCCGAGTCCCATCAATTTGAAACCCGTGGAAGAACATTCTTCAACATTATCTAAGCCAGATTGAGAAAGCCACCCGGCGTTCTCCATGTGGCTATTGATCCTGGTCTTATTTTGCAGCACCCCGGGGACTTTGCTTGCGGTCACTCAAGGGGCACAAGATGAGCTGGGGATACACGAGCCAGAAGGTTGAAACGGGCATTTTGTGTTTTGAACTTCCCTCCTCTTTGGTGGAGCCAATCTAGCCGAATCAACGGTACCGTACGAGGGATATTGCCGAGTCCGTACCAGCCAAGTCGAAAAAAGCACTATACTCCAGGAGGGAAGTTCTCAAGACACCATTGTGGCGTCCCATGGATCGACCATCGGAGAGAGACTCCAGTGACAGGGCGTTGGGTGCCATTCTGGGTCTCGCTCTACAGGCCGCCGTCTTGATTGACTAATGTCTCCCCTACAAGCGCATCCACTCTGCCGTCTGCCCACGACACCAGTGGAGACCGACAGCTTAGTGCCATAGATCATTACTGCAATTTGGAAGGAGTCCGGGTCATGTAGCCACACTGTGCCGGGCAACACCGAGCTGAAATTGTCTACTACGTATGCTATGACTCTCCATCCAGGGCTCCCCAGCAGTCTAGCGGCTTTCGCACGCTATTAACTACTATCAAACTTTGAGCTATTGCGGGGGGTATTCGGGCTAAATTCGCTGGACTGTTAAAAGCAGGACCCCCGATACTTTTCTTTTCCCTCTTTTACCCCGGTGCAAGATTCTAAAAAGCAACCCTACTTCAAGAGTTGGCGTTAGCCCACACATTCCCTTCTTGAAAGCTTGTCGGTGCATATTCGACCCATGTGGTAAAACACGTTCCGGCCTCTAGGTTTAAGAACCTGGAGACTGTACATCTACGCAGATCGATCTATTGACCGCAAACCAATGCAATAACAACAACCTACGCTTCATCGTTTACATCAACAAATTACACGCTCTTTTGTGCAACACTTATCTGCTCAACTGGCCCACTCCTTTGCCATGCTGAACGAAACGATGGGAAGCATGCTGCTTCCCCGGACTACGGATGATGATACAGCTCGCGGACAGCGAGCCCTGGTAGTGACAGCCGTGCTTACCGCAATCTCAATCGTCATCGTCGCTATGCGAATGTATGCACGAATCGGGATAATGAAATTGACTGGTCGTGAAGATTATACGATTCTCATTTCTTTGGTACGTATCCTAGTCAGGGGATTTGAGTGCTTGCTGGTGAAGTAGCGTATATTGACATTGGTTGCATGTAGGTGTTAGCATGCACGTATCTCGGTCTTGTTGCTGCTGGTAAGTTGTGGCCATCCGCCAGCTACTTAGAACATCTCTCTTACATGCTGCAGAGGTACATTTTGGACTCGGAAAACATGACGACGATTTGTCCGATGTGGTTGTGAAAGAACAATTAAAGGTAACACTTCCCAAGTATACTCAGTCTCTAAACCTATACTGATCCTCTCTGTTATGAAGCGACTCTGGGCTGCTATCCCTTTCTATAATGCCAGCTTGATCTTTACCAAATTTTCCATTCTTTTCCAGTATCTTCGAATCTTCCCCGACCGTCGCTTCCGGCTTGCTTGCTGGATTGTATTTGGTATTGTGGCTACCTACGGAACATGGGCAGTAGTCAGTGGTTTCTTGAATTGTGTCCCAGTGGCCAAATTCTGGGACCGCAACATCTCCGGCTACTGCCTTAGTTTCGAGGCAGTCTGGTTCTTCAACGCATCGATGAACATCGCTACAGACACGACCCTGTTGATCCTGCCGATGCCTCTTCTGTCGCAATTACAACTTCCGCGCATGCAGAAATTGGCCCTTATGGGTGTCTTTGCTGTCGGTGGACTGTAAGTCATGGCGATCGCCAAGTTGTCCAATACATGCTAATCGCTACGCTCCAGCGTTGTAATCACAAGTATCCTCCGTCTATCCAGTCTACGAAGCGTAGCTCAGAGCACCGACACCTCTTGTATGTACACTTCCGCCGCGTATCTTCTATGAGATTCAGACTGACAAACGAATCAGACAGCAACGTCGGCGCTGCCTATTGGACCGCTGCAGAGTGCAACGTCGCCATCATCTGTGCATGCCTACCATTCCTTCGTCCGATCGTCAGCCGCCTCTTCCCTCGCTTCCTTTCGACCAACAGCTACAATCGCTACACCCGCAACCCCACCATGTCAGCCAGTCGCATGACCGCCACTCGGATGACCGCGCGCTCGCACCGGCAAAAGGTCGAGCTTTACTCCCAAGACCGTGACTACGGCATGTACACCATCGACGTCAAGTCCGGTGAAGCGAGCCACGATGGCGCGCTAGACGGAATCGCAGTCACAACAACGACAATGATTCAGGAGACATCCAGAAACAACGACGAGTCGACCAGCCAGCGTCGGCTAGTTGTGGATGTTTGATGATCATTTCTGTCTCTGACCTTTCGCAATTTCGCACACACTCATTACTTCCCATATATTCACGATCTTACTTTCTTCTGATACCACGATGCATGATATATGACGCTGCATCTTCAACATTACCCCTTCTTTTTCATATACTCTTTGATCCTGATATCCCACACCTGCACTTTGTTTTACGCATACCTACCTACCGATCCACCTTCGTGTACATTCTTCTCATTCTCCGGATGTCTTATCATCGACGACTTTATGACCATGCTACAAGTTTAAACCCCCTCTTTCTGTTTCTCAGTTCTATGTACATTCATTTCCTCTCGCTCATCTAACGAGCTCCTCAAACATACTCTCTGTACAACAGACATTAATAGATAGTAGACGGAGAAAACCGGCAACAAAGTAGATAGATAGACAGAAAAAAAATCAAATACTACTACCACCACTAATAAACCAACCTAGCGTCCCGGATAAATAGAAACCCGCCCTCCCTACGGAGTATTTATCTACCTACCCACCCAAACCTAATATTAATAATTCTCACACGGTCAGAATCTCTTCCCCTCCCCTCCCCCTCTCTAATCTTAATCTTATCAATCGCATCACATCATACCATATCTCAATCAGTAGTGACATTCGCCAGATCTAGAACAACACCCCCTCACACACACTCCCTCTTCTTTCTCTTGTACCCCTCCTTCGTAGCACAGTAGGTAGATAGATAGATAATGCTATTATAGACCGATACAGCAGGAATCTCTTCTCGAACCTAGTAATCCACACTCAGCTAACACTCATTATCAACCACTAATCAACGCAATTCCAATCAATCGAGATAAACGTCTATAGCTACAATCAATCTCAAGGATAAAGACCTCCCTCAGCACACACACACAAATTATCACTAAACCCGCCTTCACACACGCATCCACCCAAAAACCCAAGCTTTACTACGTAGTACGTACATCCATCCCATATCCATGAATCAGAACTCTGATGATCATAATAAGCGATGATCCTCCGAAATTAGCCGAGGCAGTGTATATAACTACGTAAAAATGCACTACTAACTAGCTAGCTGTATGCTTGTTCCACTCAATTATCTCCAGACCAGACCGGAAAACCCGGACGTAGAAAACTACTATCTACTACCGGTAGAGATGGGGCAGGAAGAAGAACCGAGAAACAGAAACAGAAACAAGTATTCTACCTATAGATAGATAGAGAGAACTAGTAAGTATCTACTATCTATGAATATCCAATGACGCACAACCCACCTACCTGTATTATAGCTGCTTCTTGTTCTATACGTGTAAATATTTACGGTTCGCAGTGTGACAAAACAGCGATTGACTTGTTTTTGTTTTCGTAATGAAAGAAACCAGAAAGAAAAAAAAAAAAAAAGCCGAAGATCAAATCGAATCAAATCAAATCCCTTGCAGCGAGGGGTAAAATGTGTTGGACTAGACTAGACAATTGCGATGATATAATAACAATTACATGAGAATAATACTTCTACCTGTAGGAGAAATTTTTGAATACTGGAAAGGCCGAGGTCGGGCCGATCCGATCTAGTAAAAAGGAAATCTGGCAGTTAAGCTTATCAATCAGTCAATCTATGGTTGAGAGATAAAAAGACTGATTTAATCAAATTGATGGGGTTTCAGATAATCAATCGGTCGCTACAGGCTCGATCAAAAGATCCTAGTGAACTAGTTTACTTTAGATCAATAACAGCCATCATATGATCTTGATAAGTCCCATATTACCGAAATCTATTCAGTTATTCCATGACCTTACGAACACAGTCATCTCACACCCGGTTATCCCGTGATTAATAGCCTTGTCCACACGTCCGTCCGCCGGTACAGATTCAAACAAGGTGAAGGGGAGAGTGAGAGAAGAAGAGAAAATAAAAGTGTAACAAAACAAGCCTCCGTAATGTCTTTCTTTTGTAATCGCTTATCCCGCCAGCGCTTCAAACAAATTAATCCCAAGTAAAATAAATGAAATGTAGAGAACTTTTTTCCCTTAATAGTGCACAAGTCCCGTGAAACTCATCGTGTTGCAAATGGTATCTCGTCAGAAAAAGTCTGCGCCAAATATGTGATTGGTGAAATAGTAAAGGTAGAGAGCAATAGCAGCATACACAGTCCTTGGACAATTGGATCCATGATCATTGTTGTCCTAGTTCCGCTAGCTCTCGCTCCTTTGCGCGCAGCATCTCTCTCATCTCTTCCGCTTCTCGTTGCAACTTTAAGCGACGTTCTTCCCTGATGTTGTCGAACTCCGACACACCGGGCAGCAACTGTGAGGGAGGGGGCGCAAGAGGAGAAGCTTGGTGAGATGGATGGTGCTGACGGCTGAGGGCAGCGAGTGAGGGATCTAGGCGCGATTCGTCATGGCTGTTGGGGTTGAGGAGAGAAGAGATAGAACTGAGGCGGGCCGGAGGAGAAGGATTGACAGAAGACATGATCGGAGGAAGTTGGTTGGACCCGTTTTCCAGAGTGGTCGGGATAGACAACGCTTCTGCTGATGACGCGGTTTCTGCAAGGGTGCGTTTCTTCGGATTACCCGAGGGATTTGGCGAAAGAGACCGTCGACCAAACTGAGACACCGGAGAGTGGCTTGGAGCGTTGATGCGATCCGGCTCTAACAATCTTGGTGGCGGGGGATGGTGCGGTAAGGAGACGGGGCCGGAACTAAATCCGGTAAAATCGACAGGCGGGGGTGCAAAGCCAAATTGCTTGGGCGCGGCCGGTGAAATCCTGTCTCCGGACATCGGTCCATAGTGATCCACCGGCTCAGAGCTGTAGTAGCGGTAGTGATCGTCGTGGACGCGAGCCAACGTCGCTGGGGAGGCCTCTGGCGACGCAGAAGAGCCATTCGACGACTGCGTGGCAGCAGTCGGGGAGTGTTCCCGCAGCGCCGGCACAACGCGTTTTCGCCGCTTGATTATGGTCTTCTTCATTGTGGTGGGGCGATAGCACCCGTGGAGCTTGTAATATAGACCTAAAAGGATGTTAGCCGCTTCAGGGCTCGTTTTGATTCCCGAGATAAGGCAAAAGAACATA